ATATATATATATATATATATATATATATATATATATATATATATATATATATATATATATATATATATATATATATATATATATATATATATATATATATATATATATATATATATATATATATATATATATATGGCTTGAACTCCGACTGGAATCCTGCAGACGTTTCGCCAAAATCTCACTTGGCATCTTCAATGCTCGCGCTCCGAGAACGCTTCGAATATATATATATATATATATATATATATATATATATATATATATATATATATATATATATATATATATATATATATATATATATATATATATATTCTCACGTATTGATTCACGGATGGAAAAATGTGATGACACTATATTCCGAGATATCATCCGTTCGCTCGTTGAACTCCGACTGGAAACCTGCATCCGACTGGAATCCTGCAGACGTTTCGCCAAAATCTCACTTGGCATCTTCAATGCTCGCGCTCCGAAGTGTTCGAAGTATTTTCGGAGCGCGAGCATTGAAGATGCCAAGTGAGATTTTGGCGAAACGTCTGCAGGATTCCAGTCGGATGCAGGATTTGCAGGATTCCAGTCGGATGCAGGATTCCAGTCGGAGTTCAACGTGCGAACGGATGATATCTCGGAATATAGTGTCATCATATATATATATATATATATATATATATATATATATATATATATATATATATATATATATATATATATATATATATATATATATATATATATATATATATATATATATATATATATATATATATATATATATATAAACCCACAACTCTGTAATTAAAGCACGTTTTGCAAATCTCTGAAGGAGTCGCAAAAATATTGAAAAAATCCTCACCGTGGGGTATCAATTTTTCTATTATTTATTATTGAGGAATTTTGAGACAGGGATTACTGGGCCTAAACCTTAAGAATTCTAATTTATGCCTATCTGATGATCTAGAAAAATAATGATAAGCGATTTACATTCTTCTTAAGTGTTGCTTACCTACAAAACCGAGTGAGTGCAGAGTGACATTTCAAAATATCGATGTCGTTTGCTTTTTTAATTTCTTCTTCTGTCCTATTAATGAAAGCGAATATATCTCTAACTCTCTTCTTTTGGACGAGTACTACTTTAACCATGACAACGAAGGAGGTAATCATATACGCAAACGTGGAGAACACCTTTAGGGGCGAATTATCCACGTCGAACGCCAAAATGAAAAATTTGCTGCCCAGAAATATCAAGAAAAATGGGAAATACGCCTGAATGAACACGCTGTAGTAAACGTACAGTCTTTTGATGGTGGGGTTTTGCGTAATCGGAAGCCGCCATATTCCCGCCAATATCATGCTGTTTTTGGAAAATTTTAGAATTTCTAGTTTGCTGTAGTCTTCGGACATTTCTGATTTTTATCAACCTTAAAACAAAAGCAAAACAGCTTTGGATATAATGGAACTTAAGATGCGCTTTAGCGGTAATTACCAAAATATTGAGAATTTACTATTGATGAGACAAACCTTACCTCCTTTTCTATTCGACGTGCATTGGTCAAATAAAATGTTGCTAACGTTTAGTGCTGAAAAACTCAATACAACGCCATTTAAGCTCATTTTTACTAAATGATATGCCTGGAACGATTTAAATTTATTTAATTAGGTTATTATATATTAATATGGCGATTGTCGACTTAATAACCGTTCCATTACTTGTACACTTTGCGAAATTTGAATATTTTAGAACAGAAATGATTTGAACGTATTTAATAACTCAATCAGTCGATGGGAGTAAGATTAAAGCTAATAATGTCGATGCATTGTTCAATCTAAAAATTATCTTGAGAAAGCTTAAAGCGAAATATAAAACACAGTAACAGAAGGATATACTGACACCTTTCTAAATAATATTGGAGCAAAAGCGCCACGTAGAGCATACAGTGTATGTGTAGCCAACCTTGAACCTGAACAATTATTTTAGTCTCGCCAGAGGGCGCTATCCTCTCGGTTGGGATTTGTTTGAATAAAAATTTTAGAAGAACTAAATTTGCATAGAGTTAATAAATGTAATAAACAAGCATTGGATTCTCGGAATACTGCCGCGCCATGTAGGAAATTCTGAAGCACAGTTAACAGTGGTTCTGTTTTATTTGCAATATATACAATATATCGAATGTGGTGAAATGATTTTTTTAATTAACGAGCGAATAAGTGGTATACAAATATGTACAGGGCGGGCAAATTTCTATGTTTGTATAAGAGATCTCGGTTACTGGTATTTTAAATGTCCCTTCTCAACAATTTTTGATATTGACTTGAAAAATTGCTATGTATGTATATGTTGAGAGGAACCCAATGGCATGAACCAAACTTCGTTGTCATCTTATTATTATCTATTGAATTATTATCGATGTCTTTCGTAATTTTTCAAGCTCTGAAGGAGCCAACAGGATGATTGGCGAAACGTCAGCAATTTCGACTAAGCAAAAACCGACGCAGGAGGAATCCAGAAGTTTTGTAAAAAGCACGATGTCTTTCTTGCTTTCCGATTATAAGAAAAATGTATTTAGATATTCTACAGCTACTTTAAAGATTCTAAAATACCAAATTACGTACTGATTAGGAGTGCCGAAATTGTTAACTTCATTACAAAGTTGTACAACAGAACAGACAGAGGTTCTGAATTCTATGTTGTGTGCCATATTTGTATGTGTAGTTTTAATAAAATGGCGTTCTTAATGAAAACATCAAATAGTACATACAAGCTCCTCTCATACTTTAGGTCGATCTGATTTTTCGGTCAATTTAAACGATTAAAGTTATTTTGACATTTTGACTCAAAAAACTTAAACCTGTATTGTACGATATGTATTGTAAGATAACCAAACTAACCGAAAAGTCTTCTGACCTTCCCTTCAAGCGGATGTTTAAGGAACTAGTGGCTGAAAAAGTTTATGTTGCATACTATACTTCTTCCACAACTATTAGTTTTTGAACGCATTTTTGAAAAGCACCATGAACATATTAGGGACACCTTCTTATTTTCACTTCTTATTTTGGTATTATTTAAATTTATTCCTTATTTGAAACGAGCGCACTTGGTGAGAAATAACATTGACCCTCCTGTTACTAAAGTTTACAGCGTAGACGGTGTTGTTAGTAAGTTACATGACAAGTTTCGAAAAGAGCAAATATTGTAGGTTATGATATAAAAAATGCTTTTATTTCATTGTATTTGAGTTGTTAGGTTTTAAACATTTTTTTTTAAATCAATAATACCATTACCAAAGAAGTTATAGATTTGAGTGACAGAGACATTTATAGTTTCTTTTTCGATTTTTTGAAAATGCCAAATATGTGAAATTTTGGCGATAATGACGACCTAGTGTTGCTGCTGGAGGCGGGGCATAAATCCTATGATTCATTCTAATGGATGGAATATAATTCAGTTTGTAGGTCCCTAACATTATTTCAAAATTGAGAGGCTTAAAACTTTATCAAACACATTTTCCATCGCCACAAACGCATTTTTTTTGTTTTAATAATGTGCAAAAACTAAAAATAATAAATTGAGACATCAGAAGTCACTGAGTTAAGCTCGCAGCGATTCACGACAGTGTTTAACGAACCTGAATTCTTAAAGTGACACTTTCCGCACGCTTGATCAGTGTACAGTTGGATATTTTAGAGTTAGGGGCAGAAAAATAAATTAAAATGCGCCTGGAGATTGCATTATACACACCTAAAAGCGGCATTATTGGTTTCATTATAATACATGCAATTTAAGAATTATTATGCACTTTCCGTTAAAGCGGATTGAGTTGCCAGAATGTCGAAAGGTCCTATAGTCAAAGCCTATAGTCCTATAGCGCTCGCAACATCATAATGACCTAAAATAGAACGCTCCATTAGTTCAGTTAAAATATGACAGTTGTTTAAAATCATTACTATAAGAGTACTATCTCAGTCACCGGATCAGGTCTGGCTGAAAAATAATATTTCTTATAAGATTGTGATTGTGATTCACGTCAAGTACTATTCATCAAACGCAATGTTTTCTTTTAAATATTGAAAGAAACGCAGACTTAATCTAATCTTTTCACGTAATTTTAACACAGAAGAACGTGCAAAAACAAAAATCTCAAAATAATTAGGTTATAACCCGGTAGTAACCGATAAAGGGTAGAATTTCAGAAGCGGCGTAAAAAGTTACTGTTCACTAAGCGTAACTAAAGTATCTGAACCGCTTGTAGCGATTCTCGACAGTGCTTAATGAAGCTGAAGTTTTGGAGTAAGGAGTACAAAAAAAAAATTGTATACCTTATTTCGCGGAAATCGTCATTTTCCGATTCTCAAAAAGTCGGAGGACTAAATAATCAAATTACGCGAAGCGCCATCCTCAAGATGCAATTTTCGCGTAGGCAGACAATTTAAGCATATCGCATTAAAAAGGAAACCCCATATTAACAAAATGGGCTGACGGGATCACGTTTAACCGATTAGAAATTGCCCGTGACTTAGCCGGATCGGTCGAGGTAAAACTGAACACCGCGATCATCCTCTTCGGTTCGAACAAAAGAACGCGGTTCAATTTGCATATCAACCTGCAACAAACTTAACAACAAACGATCTTTTAGCAGCCCCGGTCAACATTCACATATTAGACCGTGAAATTAGATAGGATTATGCCAGTTGGTCATGAATAGTCGCTGGCACTAGTTAGCTCGGAACATGGAGTGCGTTCGTTAATCTCGTCGTTATTTATCGTCGCAGGCGTAAACAGAAACAACGCGGTTTCGTTGGCAATTAGGAAACGAGATAGAAAAACGTGTTCTATTAATTATTATTACGTACGTAATAAGAGAGAGAAAGTAAGTTTGGTGCGGTTTTTAATGCAGATATTATTAGGAACGTTAGCCAGAGCGATTTTTAAATAAGAGCCGGTATTGCTTTTGCACGTGCAGGTGTCTAATGATGTATTCGTTATCCGAATGTGAACCTTGTTCTGTGAACATGGTTAATTGATTTTTTCTTAACCTAAAATTTATTTTATGAAGATTTCTATTCAAAAGCGCTCATGTACTTTTTGTTCGTTTCAGACATCTTGGGGTAGTACGTTAGTGATATAGGAAGTGCTATTAACACGGAAAATGTTGCCTGTGTAGGGTGCTATTCAGAAATTTCTGGTTATTTGCAATGAAATGAAACTTTTTCTATCACTAAAATTATTTTTAGAGGCAGTTTACACACTTTTAGTTCTTTTCGTTCATCTTGAGAGAGTACGTTATAAATATTAAATAGATAATATTACCTATGTATATAAGATCCTATTTAGAAAATTCTGGTTATTTGAAATTTAAATTGAAAATTTTCTGTCACCAAAGTTATTTTTATTTAGAGAAAATTTAGAAACTTTTACTTCGGTTCGTTCATCTTCAGGTAGTGCATTATTGGTATTAAATGTTACCTTTGTATATACCGATCTGTTTAGAAATTTTTTGATATATTCAATAAAATGTGAATGGCTCCCTTTTTTCCTCTCTTAAAATTCTTTCTATTTAGAGTTCAATCCAGAAGCACTCATTTAGTTTTTTTTCGTTCTTCTTGGGGGTAGTAATGATATGTAATAATAATGTTGCCGATGTAAGATCCTGTTCCGAAATTTGTTGTTAAAATACTGATATCACTAAAATTATTTTTATTTAGGGATAGTTTAGAAACTTTTGGTTCTTTTCGGTCATCTTGAGCAAATTATTGATATTAAAATGATAACGTTACCTATTTATATAAGGTCCTGTTTAGAAATTTGTTGTTATGTGCAATAAAATTGAAATGATACGGGGTGCTTATATCATAGATAATGTTTCCTACGTAAGTCCGGTTCAGAATTTTTTTTTTAGGTACACTAGAATTGAAATAACACTTTTAGACGTACGATCACTAAAAATCTAGATGAAGTTAACTATGAATTACCATTTTGCATCAATACACATAGAAATAGGCTTTACATATGTGCATTTCGTAGTGTCTTTGAAAAGTCCTCTAAAAGCGGAACCCCCGCTGTATTTGCCTTACTTCTAAAATATGGGGTATAGATTTTGAGGAGAACTCTAAGACACTTCCATATGTCTTTACCAAATTGTGTTCTGTAATAGCAGTTTTGTTTTAAATTTTATATAAAAACATTGGTTCAAACAGCAATGTCCCTAATTCATCGCTCACTTCACACGCTTCAAGTAAATTAGTTACCTGCTACAGGTACCTACTAATTTTGAATTTTTAAAACTCATACAAAATTAAAGAGGGACTTTACATTTTAATATTCCAATAAAATCATCTTAGTTTTTTATATCATCCAACCTCGTTTCTATGTTCAGCTCTATTTATATCATTTTTTTGAAATTAGTCTATTGCATTACATTCTTTGTGTATCTTTTAATTCATTCTGATCGAATTGACATAGATATAAAAATATAGTTAATTTTTATCCCATCCGAGTAGTTTTAAAGTGATCCTTTTGTACTTACACTGCATTCTGCATTTATTTCCCCTGGTTTTGGACTTCTTCGTTGTCCAATCGTCAAATCCAATTCACAACTTTGCATACTTACGTTGACCCAAATTGGAGATTTGCCACTTCTTGAATGTGTGTGATAGGCGTCAAAGTATGTGTTTAGATGACGGTGTTAGGTTAGTCTGCTGTACTCTAGGTTTTGGTTTACCTGTCCATGACCTGAAGTCAACTTTTTCAATACCTCCAAATTTATATATGTTTTTCCGTTGTTGGCTAATGATAAATCAACTTTAGAAATCTTGACCTCTACTTGTAGGTATGCCTCTGGAGTAGAAAAACAATTGGATACTGTTACCTGCATCTGTACATGACCGCCACATTGTCAAAAATTTCAACAATCACTTCTGCAGATTGGTAAACAATATCTATCAGATGGCTAAGCATAAAAATCCACAAATATTTGTCAAACGGACTTTGTATGGGTATATTTATTGAAAATATCTTTATATATATTTAAACTAATGTTTAATTAAGTCAGTTCAGAACAAATCAAGATAATTGAAGTCACCAACGAATAGTCCATACTTCATACTTTTACTCTGTTAAAAGTGTTATTGTAGTTAAATAAATGCATAAATAAAATAAACGAAATTCCAAAATATTTCGAATTAAATTGTAATACACATTATAAATATGTCCGGACCGAATTTATTGTAAAATATGATAATAGAGTGACTCTTTTATACATCAAATTTTAAGAATGTCAGACACACAAATCAACCCTTACCATCGTATTACATTCTTCCCAGTTTTTATATACTTATTAAATTCATTATTTTATACCGTTACACTAGCAACTTTAAATTAGCTAATGAATTATTTACGATTCAATGTAGGAGCGATATGTTTAAATAACGGTATCTGTTTTTTTTTTGAAAATTCGACATGAGGACTAAATGAACATTAAACGAATGCGGCTGATTCGGTAAATATTAAAAAAAACTATGAATGAGGTGAATAAAAGTGTGCGTGGTGTCGTGATAATTTGCAAACTTTAATCTGTTATTATTAAAATTACAAGGAATAAAGGTTTTACTGCTGCGCTAACTGTTGGTTAATTATGCACATCATGTTCGTTTGAAAAATAAATTTATCGGTACTCTTTGTAGAATTTAAGGCGTGTACGAAGGTGTTCCCGTACAACAAAACAAACAAATTAAAATGTTAAAGCCGGATTTAAAGAAAGGATGAATTACACGGTCAATTGCATCGTGAGATTGTGAGAAATTTTACGTTTGGTGGAATTTGCTCGGATTTTGTTTATTCCTAACTCAATTTTTGATTGATATTACTATTGTTTTCTCTCTCACCTCTAAAACTAAACCTAGATCTAAGCGGAAAGTCTTGGGCTACTAGGGCGAAATCCAAATAATTGAAAAAATCTAAAAAAAGGTCCGAACGGCCACATTGAAAGAAATGGTAACTCTTGCATAGATGTGTATTATTATAGACACTTTTCTAAAAAAGTTAATGCGCAAAATCAATTGGGATTATTCCAGTAGTAAATCATTTCTAGAGGTATTCTTATCTCCATTTCAATAGACACCGTGTGTGTAAGCCTGACTCTATTTACATCGGGAATACAAACAAACGCCTGCTTCTGACCCTCTTAGTTTTTTACAAAAGCCTATATATATGATGACACTATACTCCGGGATATCATCCGTTCGCTCGTTGAACTCCGACTGGAATCCTGCATCCGACTGGAATCCTGCAAATCCTGCATCCGACTGGAATCCTGCAGACGTTTCGCCAAAATCTCACTTGGCATCTTCAATGCTCGCGCTCCGAAAGCACTTCGAACACTGGGAGGTTATCGGCGGTGCGTGCGTTATTTATACTCTGCGCCGGAGATGGTAACGGTGATGCTTGTGCGTGGGGGGAGGTGGCTCCGCCCCCCGAATTGTCGCGTTGTTAATTTCGCACGATCGTAGTTGCGATGTCCCCGTTGCCTGCTGCGCATCGCTCTGCTGTTTGATTATCGTTCTCCACGTGTTGGATAAATGCAGAGCGTCGACTCTCGTATTGAGGTGTCCGGACTTTTCTATTTCGATGGCCTCTCGTATAATCCTAGTCCTAAAATCAGGAATATTAGCTATTTGTTTGCAAGTGCCGAAATCAATTTTATGGCCTGTCTGATGTTGGTGCTGAAACCAAGCAGATGTTGTTTGTTTGTTTCTTATGGCTAAACGATGTTCCTCGAGCCTGGCTGAAATCCTTTTGTTGGTCTGTCCCACATACGTCAGGCTGCACGATCCGCATGCTACACTGTATACTCCTTGGTTTTCCAGAGTAATTTTTTGTTTTGGGTTTCTTAGTATTGCTCCGATGACATGGTCAGGTTTGTATGCCGTTGATATGTCGTGTTTCCGTAATATTCGGCCGATTTTGTCAGTAACCCCCTTGATGTATGGCAGGACAGCGATCGATTTTCGTTGGGTCTCGTCCTGCACTCTCTTCTGCGGCTATTGTTGTTTATTGATTGCCTTGCTGATGGTGCGCCTTTGGTATCCGTTTTGTCGAAGACAGGTACTAATTTTCTTCAGTTCTTTATCTCTGTTCCTCTCGTTTGTGAGCCTGAAGGACCGAGCAATTAATGTATTTGCCACTGCCTGTATCTGTGATGGGTGGTGATGAGATTTAGCGTTCAGATATCTATTAGTGTGTGTTGGTTTTCTATAGATAGTGTGTTCCAAGTGTCCATCTTCGGACCTTGTGATGTGCACATCTAAAAAGGGCAGACTGTTATCCTCTTCAAGTTCTATTGTAAATTGAATCCTTGGGTGAATGGAATGGAATATCTTGAATAAAATGGTCTTTTTGTGATTTTTTTCCGAAGTAACGAAATAGGCATTGAGAAATGTAAACAAAAGCAACACTCAATTTTGCCCAAAATCAGAAGTCGGACTAATATACCTGCCGGTCCATTTGATTTTCCAGTTTTGTCGTCTGTTTTATGGTGATTTGGCACCACTGAGAGTCATCATGGTGCACTATACCACATACCAAATACCACATTTGAAAACAGAAACCTATTTAGTTCTCCAGAATAGGACACTCAATGTGAATCACGCTTTATAATAAACTCAATTATAAATCTTAAAAAATATTTTATATAGGATTCGACTCTGTGGGTCTGGCTTATTTCAATAACATGTAATAAATTTTAATAATATGTCTTTCTATTTTTATGACACGATAAACTCAATTATGAAGCTTTCTTTATTTATTTTCATATCATTGTCATATATATGAATTAACCCTGCTCCACAAAGGATTTATAGGAATTTAGTAAAAGAATAATCAACGAACCAAATAAGCTTGGACAGATCGCATACTAAACCCAAAAAACCTTAAGTTTACTATACTACTAATTTGATTACCTATTTGCGTTGTTATTTTATTACATGATCGATACGTCTAATATCTCAATTGTCTGTCCATTTCTTACAAAATAAAAATAATGAATAACATGCTCCCCCAATATTAAGAATTAAGGTACATTTCAGTAAATATGTTTTAAACGAAATAAAAGTCTCATTGTCTCCTCCGTTTCAGATCAATTCCACCTTCAAACTATGACTCTCGCATGCTTGGCATTCCTCTTAATTACCGTCGAGCTTTCGAAAGCGGAGATTCACAGAGGGGGTATATTGTTCCCCAGGGAATCGGAAACTAGGCAAGTCGTGTCTTTAGACGGATTATGGAATTTCATTGTGCCCAACACGACGAATCCTTTCGTAGGTTTCGAGCAGCACTGGTACAAAAAGGATCTGAGAGACGTAAGAACTATTTAATTACAGGCATACCGAGATGGTTGGCGTTATTCATAGCAGCCTCACCAAGATATCTTGAATTTCGCACAACAATATCATACATCCCTTTGAATATCAAACAGCCATCTAAAAGAATTTAGTTCTTTTGGGTCCCACATTAAGCAAGCAACAAGCGCAGGATTCTGACACTAATTTCTGTCGCTTTATTATCTTTTTCAGGGCGGTCAATACACCATGTTGCTTAACAACTTGAAAAAACTTCAGTTGATTTCTTGACTTAAAAAAAAAATAAAACCCGCCAGTAAAAATCATTTTTTTAGCAACAAAAACATGTGTCATTAAAAATAACATAGCAAGATATCAAAAGGCAAGAATACTGTATTTTTAGTTACTTAACTCTAAGCACGGCAAAAATATTTGTTGGTTCAGCATGTCTAAAGCCAAGATTCAGTCATCATGAATAATTTAAAAAATATTTATCTATAAAATTATAATAAAATTTTACGGTTTATTAAAAATCCATTTTTGAATTTTAAAATTGTTAAATCAACGTTAAAGTTAAAGTCATTATAACTTAAAAGTTTTTTTTTACAAAAACGATTTTAGTATCTAGTGGTGTGATCGTATTTTGAAAAAAAATTATATGATATATACTGAAATGGATTCTGCCATAACGTTATTATTAGGGTAGTTCTATTAGTAATGGTCACAAAACACCTTTTTTGATATACTTCCACAGACTGCTTTAATACTATTTACCAATCTTCTGGATTCCTCCTGCATCGGTTGCTGACGAATCGAACTTGCTGACGTTTCGGTTATCATCCCGTTGGTTTCTTTAGAGCTGAACTGAAATTAGCTCGCATTCTACTCTGTACCAGTTTGTATACTGTTTGAGGGCTCGTTGCTAAAGGAAGGGCATGACATTGTCTGCTTCCTATATTGGTGAAAGGTAAAGACCTAAGTCGCGGTTAGGATTGTTTGGTTATATATACATTTCTATAAATTCTAGGATTTTTCGTTGGTAGAAGAATTGATTACATGAAAGAATGTTAGTTTTATCGAATACAATTTTATGCGGCTGATGAATTTATTTGTCTTAGTCTTAAGGCTCTGTCATGTTCTTTAGGCCTAGTTGATATTTTTTTCATTCCGTCTCTCCAATGTATCTTTTGACGCATATGCATGGAATGCTGGAAACTTCTGCTATCTCGAAAGGAATTTTGTCTTTGGCGGACCGAAGATGTTGAGAGATTTTTGAACAAGTGGTAAATCTGGTTTTGACGTTATATTTTTTAAGAACTTTTGATGTGTGGTCATTGATGTTTTGAATGTAAGGAAGAACAACAGTGGCAAGTGTGACAGTTTCAATTAAGATCTGAAGAAGCCAACAGGATGATTGTCGAAAATTGAGCAAATTCGCTTCATCAATAACCGACGCAGGAGGAATCCAGAAGTGTCGTAAATAGTAAATAAGGCACATATGAGATATAAATTAAATTAAGAAAATTTATTCCAGAATCCAGTTTTGGATACTTAATATACAGTATTAGAATATAGTACAAAATAAAACTATTTCGAGATCGCAGTAAAAATGCTTCTGCTTCTGTTCGGGCAACGAAGGCGAAATAATCGCCTATCATAAAACTATCTTCAGAAATTTTGCGTCCCTTTTTTTCTTTTTAGACCTCGGATACAGACATCTCGTTGATGCCGGTCCCATCGAGTTACAACGATATCGGGACGGACTGGAGGATAAGGGATCATGTCGGTTTGGTCTGGTACGACCGAACGTTTTTCGTGTCAAAGTACTGGTCTGAAATAGGTCGGGTGTGGTTGAGGTTCGGATCCGTTTCTTACGCTGCCCAAGTAGTAAGATCCCACATGTTCTTATTTATTTTTATGATTAACACCGATATAAAAATAAAAAATAGAAAATTGTAATAAATACAATTTGTTGAAATTATTAATTAAAACATATCTTATATCATATTACTTTAAATATGAGGGTTAGGTCAAGCATGTTTGCAATTGCAATTCCAATATTTCATTTAAAATATTTTAACCTCTATTCGTGGAACTATAACCAAGAACACCTTGCAGTGGGTAAATGGACAACTGGTAATGAGCCACGAGATCGGCCATTTGCCATTTGTCGCAGAGGTAACCGCATATTTAAAATACGGCAAAGAAAATCGAGTTACAGTGGCGTGCGACAACACCTTACTGTCAGACACCGTACCCCAAGGGCGCGTGGAACAGCTTTCCAGGTGAAACTTTAATGGCGCTTATGGCTTTTTCCCAATAGTTTATGTTCACAGCGGACGACTTCGGCAAATTTATACATTCGACTTCTTCAATTACGCAGGCATTGATAGACCCGTGAAACTGTACACGACACCCAAAACTTATGTAGATGACGTAACGGTATTCACCGTTGATATTGAAGAGGAGGTTTATGGTTAGTTTTTTACCGATTTCCTACTAATGTGATGTGATTTACGAAGATTACCGAAATATACTCCCTGAAATACCGAGAAATCGGTTGATTTTATGAAAAAATTACATCTTGAAGTTTGTTTCTAGTCTCTGCTTTAAAGTTCTGGGCGTATCCGGTACTTTAGTTAGGGGTTTGTGGGCAATCGAATGTTTTCGGTAGAATTTAAATACTTAATGTCAGAGAAAGACGTTGATAAACTTCTTCATAGACTCGTTTATTAAGCACTGTCTTCGCTTGTGTCAAACCAAATTAGTGACTAAAGTGTCTTTTACCAAACTTGTAGCATAATGTACACGGTGTCCCAAATCGGAGTTAATCACAGGGTTTCTATACAAATTCACATTATTAGCCTGAGCACTTGCTAATACAGTAATCCCTTTGTTATCGATATTTTGTTTATAATAGGCTATCTTTAATTAAATTAAATGTTTGGCCTTGTTTGGCGGCGACTTTTCTGAGTATCTACCAATTAAAAAATGTTTTTTAAAAGTAAGTATCATAGTAATTGAATCTCTTGGTGCCTATCTTTTATGACATTCAATAAAACAAACCGTAGTGTCATACTCACGATTATTTTCAAAATTATTCAGTTTTTGTCCTCGTTGATTGTCTGGTGTCTGAGGATAGTCATCATCCCGGGTTTCCACAGTTTAAAACGTAATTTTCCGACATTACCTTGTAATGAATATAATTTCCGGAAAGCCAATTTCCATCTAATGTTTGATCGTATTGTCAAGATAGATTGAACCCTCCTTGAATCTTTTGACAAAGCCAATGTACTTTTATGGTAAACTTACAACATCTTCGATGAATATGTAAGCGTAAGCGAAAGTATCCCCCGTGGTTCACACAGGATATAATCAAGCAAATCCGCTTAAAATTTAAATATTTAAAATTGTTTAAGATTAAGAATGATCTTGGTGCTCTCAATTAATTTATACTATTAACGGCCAAAATTAAATGAGATCTTAATAATTCCTATAATTTGTATGCACTGCCTGCTGAGTTTGAGATGAAAACCGATCCAAATAAATTTTGGCGTTTTATTAATAATAAAAGGGGTTCAACTAACATTTCAGACAGGATAGATAGATAGATATTTTGCTACCTCTTCTTCAAATTTTCCATTTATTAATAGCGATACTATGTAAGTTCTTCATTTTACATATTTTCAAGAATATCAAGTGCTAGCGGCTCTTAAGCAGGCAAAAAATAAGTTGACGTCGGGAAATGATTGCATTCCGGCTTTTATTTTAAAGGACTATGCCAATGTCCTTGCTATACCACTTGCTTACTGAATACGTGCCTTAAATCCTGCAGTGTGCCTGATATCTGGAAGTTATGCAGAGTTAGACCTATTTACAAAAAAGGTGTCAATTTACATGTCAGTAATTTTCGTCCCATTTCATTACTTTGCAATTTTTCTAAGGTTTTTGAAACACTCCTGTACAATAGATCATACAATCATTTAAAAAACAGTATAACATCAAAGCAACATGGTTTTATGAAAGAAATATCACGCACGTTATACCTGAGAATCTAGACTTGCGATCTCAAACTGATGTTATCTATACCGATTTTTCGAAGGACAATAAGTATCCCCCAATTGATCTAAGCAATACTTCGCTTCGTAATAGGCATAACGTACACAAATGAAGTTCTGGCCGCGATTGTCATTCGGCAGGTATTCTTGTACAAAATTATTCATAATCAAGTTGTTAATCCGGGCCTCTTATCAAAATTGAACTTTGGTGTTTCCAGGGTTACCTCAAGAGTAAATCAAACCTTTTACCTTTCTATGCTGCGTATGAATATTTTAAAATTTTCCCCTATACACGGAATGTGCGATCTGTGCAACGCGGCAAGTTTCCAGCTTGATATATTTTCTTCTTCTGTACGTGACGTTAAAACATGTTTTTTAAGGAATGGAATGTAATTATTTTTGTTTCATTTTACGTCGTATTAGCATTTTGCTATCCTTTTGTTTTTTTTTTAATTTGTTACTTTATGTCGGTGTTCTGTAGTTAGGTTTATCCTGTTGAACAGTGTATCTAAATAAATAAATAAAAATCTTTTTTTTTGCTTTTTGCTCCTATGGAGGAAATCCATCTACGGGCAGAACTAAGATGTCTGTTTGTGGATACTTTAATACATATAACTTCGTGGCTTACGTTTTTTTATAATATTACGTTTTTAGTTTACACCGGAAGTGCTTAGTGTTTAAAAAAAATGCTTCATTTAAAACATGTATGTCAATGTGTTGAACAAGTTTTGTCGTTAATGTGTTGTTCGTTAACTGCATCACTGGATTCTAAGTAAAAATTGCTATTTATTGCAATTTTTAGTTTTTTTCTATCTGACCGGGTGTCCTAAATATGAAATTGGGTTTGCGACTTTCATAGTTTTACGAAAAACAGACGCGCGAAAACCGCAAAGTTCAGTTGCTTCTGGTTACAGAGGAATCCTGTTGGGACCCGGTGTACTATTTGTGTTCTACAACGTGATATTCTTAAATTTGGAGCAGGATTTTTAAAAAATAATAAAATTCCCAATCTTTTTTTTTCCTCAAATAGTCCGATTTCTACATTTCTACAGAACTTTCGGAATGGCCAAGGATTTTTCAACAAGCTGCGGATTTAGCAATATTGTTTCTATATGAATTAGTACTCTATGGTAGTAAGAGATTTCTCTCTAAGAATAAAAATATTGCAAATGATATTCAAGTAAAAAACTTCTTTACTGATGGCTAAACCCTTCGCTTTAAAATTGAGCTACCCAGCTTCATTATTATTAATAATCAATTAATTAATTAATAATAATAACTTTCATACAAGAAGACCAGACAATTGCAAAATGTAATTTTCGAAACGTGTTGCGTTATAGCTTTGCTGCAGTATAACGTTACCGTAAACGGAGATCACAATGTGTCGTGCCGTGTTAATTTGCTGGATAAGAAGAACGATATAGTAGCGATAGCTCATGATTATACGAATTTTAGCGGTATTTTAAGAATCGAGGATCCCAATCTTTGGTGGCCATATTTAATGAATCCTAGTCCCGGATATCAGTATAAATTAGAGGTATATTTAGTCAAAATGGCCATTGAGCGACATTTGCGGAGCTGTTTTATTTTTAGGTTGAACTCTTCGATCCCAATGGCGATCTCGTAGATAAATACGTAATGCCCGTGGGCATCAGAAAACTGTCGTGGACGAACAAGAGTTTGCTTATCAATAATAAAGAAATGTATCTACACGGTTTTGGTAGACACGAAGATGCGGACATAAGAGGAAAAGGTAGTCGGTACCAAAGAATGATCATAATCATCATGGGTGTGTTCTAGGCGTTGATCTTCCGTTGATAATTAGAGACCACAACTTAATAAAATGGATTGGTGCAAATGTGTATCGGACCTCGCACTATCCGTATGCCGAAGAGATAATGGACCTGGCAGACGAAATGGGGATTATGATAATAGATGAATGTCCCAGCGTCAATACAGAGTATGCGAAGAAATGGCCTTATAAGAACATTTAATTCGAATGAATAATTATTTCAGGATATTCAGCGACGGTTTGTTGGCCAAACATAAAGTTTCCCTGACGGAATTAATAAAAAGAGATAAAAACCGACCGGCTGTGATTATGTGGTCTGCAGCCAATGAGCCTAGGACGCAGTATCCAAATGCAAGGGAATATTTTAGGTATAAAATAATCACGATCACAAACAAACTTGCTAGGGATCAATAAGTTCCCATGCAGCATTACCCGCGCGTTACATAATTTCTTTTAATTTCATTTTTAGGAGAGTTATAGAACACATCAAAGGTCTGGATTCTACAAGACCAACAACCATAGTAGAAGCTCAAAATGTAATGGTGGTGCAATCGGTAATAATATATTAATTTATCAATCAATCAGTGATTTTCCTAAGATTATAATCGGAGACGATCATTCAATTGGTATCATCACCCTGTTGATTTTTGAAACTTATTTAATTACAAATCGTTCGATCGTCTGGACTCAACAAGACGAATAACCAACCACATAGTACAAGTAAATTACTAAATAATTATCAAATTCTTCCATGTGTGTGTTATAGAACTTTATTTCACTTCAGCAGGTAAATATGAGCGATCAAAATGTCAATGTCAAAGACCACCGAGTCCTGTTCAAATTTTCGAGAAAGGTCAATTGGAGCTGTAAAAACCCTCAATTACGAGTTTATAGTAAATTAAACCATACCAAAGTGACTTTTGTTGATGCTGTTATAGGTTTTATTTATCCCCTTTGCTTTGTCCTTAGGTAATAGTTCGATCAAATATTTATTAATATCAATAACATATAATAATAAATGACACTTTCACATAAAGTTTTACATTATTCTTCATGGCATGTTGCGAAACAGTTGATCGTTATTTACTTATGGTAGGTTCTCCCAGGATTATCTAATATAATGACGTACGAGCCCTAACAACTAAATGTTCGGACGATGTAAAAAATGATAAAAAAAGTCATTTTTATATCTATTTAATTTTTTTTTTGCTTTGCCGATTGAATAATCAATTTACGCACATTTCGATAGCACAGAAAGTGCTATCGTAATGAATTATTTTTTATTTCGCATGAATTACATAGCAAAATATTTGAACCATACCAAATTTGGTGACAAATAAATATTCGGACGCGAATGTTTATTGACCAAGAAATCAATGCTACCCATGCATGATGGTAAAATGTAGTGTGCTTAGAAAAATGAGATGTCAGTTCGGGTTGTATCTTTCAAGTTTTTATAATACTTGATAAGAAAATAACGCGTGGTGTTGCAACAAACACAAAAGTGCGAGAAATTATCATATATCAGTACTGCAGAGGTAAATCAATGCAAAAAATTGCAAATGACTTGAGTATTGCAAAATCAACAGTCGAGGATATTATAAAAAAGTATGGAGAGACAGCTAGTGTTAGCGTTCGTGGTAAAAGTTCAGGCCGACCCCGTAAAATCACTGAAAGAGATCGTCGAATTCTGGTCAAGATTTGTAAAACTACGACAAATTCAAGCCTAATGGAATCACGAGGTAAACTTAAATGTCTCCAGAGAATGTTGTAGACAATGGATGCATAAATCTGGTTTGAGTTTTTATAAAGTAAGTTTACAATTTTTTCTGTTTCAATATAAAAATTATTAATATTCTATGATCTACTTTTGTTAAAGCCAAAGGAAAAACCATTATTAACGTCTATTCAGAAGAAACAACGTTTGGATTGGGCAAAATCTAAAATATCTTGGACAACGGAAACGTGGAGTAACGTTATCTTCAGCGACGAATCAAAATTTGATGTGTGTGTAGGCGATTTTCGAAAAAGTGTGATTCGTGCCTTTCACGAAGATTGTCTAAAGCGCACGGTAAAATTTCCCCAAGGTGTTATGATATAGGGGTGTATGAGTGGTAAAGAGGTTGGCAACTACCAGTTCATTGATGGTACTGTAAATGCAGAAAAATACCAACAAATATTATCAAGAAGTTTGATTCCATCAATAGAACGAACTTTTGGAAATAAAAATTTTATATTTCAACAAGAAGGTGCGTCCTGCCATACTGCGAAAACAACAAAAAAGTGATTTGGGGATCATAATAAGAAAGTTTTATCGTGGCCATCAAGGCTTGAATATTATTGAAACTTTATGGCATCGGATGAAAAAGACTTTGCGTAACAATCCTCAGCGTACAGTTCCAGCATTAAGACTTTGGTAGATTCCATGCCAAAACGCATTAAAGCTGGTATTGCCGCGAAAGGTGATGTTAATTCTTATTAATGTTCGATTTAAAGTAAAAGATTTAAATGCGTCCGAATATTTATTTGTCATCAAATTCGGTATATTTTTGATATTTTGTTATGTAATTTATGTGACATTAAAAAATAATTCATTACGATAGGACTTTTTGGTATAAAAATAAGTGCGTGATTTCATTTTTCAATCGAAAAGGCAAAAAAAAATCAATTTAAAATAAGTATAAATATGTTTTCTTATTATTTCGTACATCGTTCGAACAATTAGTTGTTAGGGCTCGTAGACATATAGTGTTATTTTGGGCTAGTCGTCGCTGTCTATGTCCACTGGTTATCGCAATACCAACCGAGAACAGTATGACTATAGACTATAAGATCCAGTTGTTCGAAAAATCTATTTTATGGATCTGTCGATCCTATAACTAACTACTCCACTCAAGTCTGAATCGGTGACAAGTATCATCGGATACAAGTATCATTTCGACCAATCTTGCTTCCATGCAATTTCCTAAAAGGTGTCCCCTAGCCTTTTACAGATCTACTATCCTAGCCCGTACAAATAATCGACGATGCAGACGATATTTTCAATACACCAACTATGTTATTGTCTAGTACACTAACCAAAACATTATAAATATATCTAAGTATGTATTTATGTTATCCATTTATAGAATTCAATTTCAGTCAGAGTTCGTAGACATAATAGGATTTAATCGGTACAACGGATGGTATCACGATGAAGGTAATTTAGACGTCATCACTCAAAACATCGTAAAAGAGGCAACCCTGTGGCACAAAAAGTTTAACAAGCCTGTGATAATGCAGGAATACGGCGGGGATACCTTGGAAGGATTACACTTTGTAAGTACAAAAACTGCTAAGAGCAACTGATATGACTTCATCTATTCTTCGTTAGGTGCCCGATTATATATGGTCCGAAGAATACCAAGTCGGACTGCTGTCGAAACATTTCGAAGCCTTTGACATTTTAAGAAAAGAAGGTTTCTTTATCGGCGAATTCATCTGGAACTTTGCCGATTTTAAGACAGCTCAAGGTTTGCGCGGGTTTTTGTTACCCAAATATCCAATTTTTAACGCAATCGATTTTAGTATATACCAGAGTGGGCGGTAACAAAAAGGGAATCTTTACCAGAAGCCGACAACCCAAATCTAGCGCGCACCACATCAGAAAAAGATACTGGGGTCTGGCGAATGAGTATTTCAATGCCACGTTTCCCGAAGATTTGGAAACGTACGTTCTAAATCGGGTAAAGACCACCCAAGATGAACTGTGATATTTTAATTTATTTATTTTAGTCATTTTAGTTTGAATAAACAAAACTACACATAAAACGTATCTTTGTCTTTATGAACCAGTTAGCTGTAAGAGATTGAAATCATAACACACAAAAGTCTTTCAAAGTATCGTTTTAAAAATACATAAACATGCGGCTCTCCGAATTTGTACCAATAAACACGTCCGAGATTGCAATTATTGTTTAAAGCAGACATTCGAATCACGTTGGTTGATTATTCTGCTAAACTTCTGCTATTTATCAATATGGGTTGTTGCTCAGCGAATCTAACAATCGCCTTTGTGACCTTGTTGGTTTTGGGTGGCGACTTATTACTCGCATTTTGCAACCACGAGTTTACTTACCAGAGGTAAAATCAGATTTTTCCTACCATAAAACCATTAAACAATTATGCATATTTCTTTCTGTGCCTTTATAACAATTGATGAAAAGTAAAATGGTCAACAAAATTACGAAGTGTTAAGCATAATTTGTAGAAAGTGTGTTGTTTCAATAATTAGAGGTACGATATAGGTAAACAAAATATTTATCTATAATTTTATCATCAGAACAATAATTTACTTACAAGTTCTCCAAAAAGCAACACTGCTCAATAGTACCTGGAACTACTCATATAGTTGTTGGAGCAAGTTGCATTGAACAAATTCACGAAACTCAAAAAGCATAATTAAGGAAAATACTATATTCGTAGTATTTTTTGGTGCAATCTTTCTTGGCTGTATTACGCTATTTTATTAGATTATAGGAAGGACCACTTAAAAACCGATAGATGTTATGCACCCCTTGAGCAGCTCTTAGCCGATCCTCATTTTGTTTCGCCAATTTTAGTCGCTCATCATCAACATATATAAAATTTTAGTTTGTTGCAAATCTGCGAAAAGAGTAAACACAAGGCGATAAATTATTAAAAGTTATCCAGTTTTATTTAAAAATGTACAATGTAAATAATTGAAATGGTTTGATCAAAGCAGTAAATCAACATCACCACTTAATATATTTAATATTTCGTTGAGATTATTACATAATTTTTTGGGTGGGCATTATTTATCAAGATAATAAAAACCAATCAACAATTGCTATTAAAGTCCATTCAAAAATAATTGTGACCAATATAGAAAAGGTAAAAGTAAATTGGAGACAACAATCAGGTCAGGGAATGAGCAACCGAAATTAATAATAATACACATCCCTCAAACCATAGGATTGAAAAGATTGCAGACTTGCTTTTACTGGTTTATCACTCAAAACAGCCTCGCAAATTATATATCACACACACTATTTTAACCATTGTGGTGTGCGAATAAACAATACAACAGATAAAACGTATCTTTTCTAAATGCAAACCCGTTGGATTTCAGAGATTGAATTGTTTATATATATATATATATATATATATATATATATATATATATATATATATATATATATATATATATATATATATATATATATATATATATATATATATATATATATATATATATATATATATATATATATATATATATATATATATATATACAGGGTTTTTCACTTAAAACTCCGCACGCCAATAAGTTCAAAACGAAAAGAAATATTTAATTTCTGTAAAAAGTAGTCAAAGTGTGGGGTCAAGTAGATATTTCCTAAAGTTTAAAAAATTCGACGCCTGCAAAGAGCTGGGCGTCGCGACGCGTCGAAAAATTATTCGATTGCAGAGACTTTGGAAATACGCGCATACAAAAGTACATATTATTTAAAAACTTTTTTGTTATTTACTCAAACTTATTTACTTTACCCGTTTCTAAGTTATACCGATTTAAAGTAAACATTTCTTGATTAATAAAAAATGTGATTAACGCTTATTTTTACAAGTATGCCATGAATGTTAGTTATTATGGCAACCATTGTTATGGCAGTTGTTTTAAGTGCAATTACAAACGTAAGTTGTTATTGCTGTATCAAAAAATTGTCACATTTTGTCACAAGAAATATCCAAATTTGTTCGGTTAAAAAAAAACTAAGAATTATTATGTGAAAATGGTGCAATTTAGCAATGAGGAAAAAGTAGACATGTTACTGGTGTTTGGAGAATGCAGATGCAATTGTAGAAAAGCAAAAAGAGTTTACGTACGGCGTTATCCGCATAGAAGAGTCCCCGATGCAACAGCCTTTTCAAGTTTATGTAAAAACTTAAGAGAATATGGCAGCTTCATAAAACCTAAAAGAGATAGGAACAGGACGGCTACAAATGATGAAAATACTGCTGCTGTAATTCAGCAGGTTGATAATAACCCCAAGATATCCCTGTCAGAGATAAAAGAAAATACCGGTGTTACCATAAGTTCTTCGTGGAGAATTCTACATAGAAACTCTTTTCACCCGTACAAAAGTAAACTAGTTCATAAACTAGAACCAGGCGATTATGCTAGAAGAATGTATTTCTTAGGGACATTGTCCGATTTGTATAGCCAAGATGCAAATTTTCTCTCGAAAATTTTATGGAGCGACGAAAGTCGATTTCAAAATAATGGAATCGTTAATAGACACAACCGTCGATTTTGGTCCGAAAACCATCCTCGTTGGATTACAGAAAGAAGTAACCGACGAATTTTTAGTATCAATGTTTGGTGCGGCATATTAAATGGATTCCTTATTGGACCTTACCTTTACGAAGGAACTTTAAATGCAGATCGCTATTTAAGATTTCTTCAAACTACACTTCCGGAGCTATTAGAAGCAGCAGGATGGAGCGCCTGCACATAATGCCCAAATAGTAACGAGGTATTTGAACCGAGAATACCCCAATAGATGGTTTGGTACTAATGGACCGGTAAGGTGGCCGGCGAGGTCCCCGGACATTACACCACCAGATTATTTTCTTTGGGGCGACCTAAAAAACGTCATCTATGAAGAACCTATCGAAGATATGGCTGATCTCATTAACAAAATTAGTGCAGCGTGTGCCGCTATCACAAGAAGGACTCTCCTACAAGTGACCCAAGCTCATCTGTTAAAAGTTTTTGATAGTTGTGTTCGAGCAGATGGACATAATTTTGAACAAAATTTTTGAAATGTCTTATTATGTAGTTAATTGCAATAATAATTCTGGTTATTAACTTGTAGGTATTTTACTGTTTTTTCATTTATTTATCATATTATCAGAACTAAATCGATAAAAAATAGTTGAAATCTATTGTTTCTAATTGCACTTAAAACAACTGCGATAACAATGGTTGCCATAATAACTAATATTCATGGCATACTTGTAAAAATAAGCGTTAATCACATTTTTTATTAATCAAGAAATGTTTACTTTAAATCGGTATAACTTAGAAACGGGTAAAGTAAATAAGTTTGAGTAAATAACAAAAAAGTTTTTAAATAATATGTACTTTTGTATGCGCGTATTTCCAAAGTCTCTGCAATCGAATAATTTTTCGACGCGTCGCGACGCCCAGCTCTTTGCAGGCGTCGAATTTTTTAAACTTTAGGAAATATCTACTTGACCCCACACGTTGACTACTTTTTACATAAATTAAATATTTCTTTTCGTTTTGGACTTATTGGCCTGCGGAGTTTTAAGTGAAAAACCCTGTATATATATATATATATATATATATATATATATATATATATATATATATATATATATATATATATATATATATATATATATATATATATATTCACGTATTGATTCACGGATGGAAAAATGTGATGACACTATATTCCGGGATATCATCCGTTCGTTGAACTCCGACTGGAATCTCGAATGCTCGCGCTCCGAAAACACTCCAGGATGCCAGTCGGAGTTCAACAAGCGAACGGATGATATCCCGGAATATAGTGTCATCATATTATGTTTTTATAAAAACTGTACTGTATATCTATATATATATATATATATATATATATATATATATATATATATATATATATATATATATATATATATATATATATATATATATATATATATATATATATATATATATATATATATATATATATATATATATATATATAGTACAGTTTTTATAAAAACATTAGAGCGCATTGTCTCAGGACATGCTAGATAACATTTTGATAATATAAAGACGCGGCTCTCTCAGTTAGTATCAATAAACAGATGGCCCGTCGTTCACGATTGCCGTTATTATTTAAGGCAGACATTTTAATGGCGTTGGTTGATTATTCCACTAAACCACCTATTTATTAATATGATTTGGTGCCCAGCGGATTTAGCAGTTGGCTTTGTGACGTTGCTGGTTTTGGGTAGCGACTTATCGTTTAGTAAAGGCATTTTGCAACCACGTGTGTCTGAAACTAGAGAAATTTTGTCTTTGGATGGTCTTTGGCAATTTAGGAAGGATAGGAACGCCACCGGATTACCAGAGGTAAAAATTAGATACTTGTTACCATAAAATCATATAACAATTATGAATATTTTTGTCCGTACTTTTAAAATTTGATGAAATAATAAAGAAAAGATACGAAATGTGAGGCATAATTAGGAAAAATTGTGTGATTTCCGTAATTCGAATTGCAATATAGGTAAACAAAATATTTCTCTATATATGATCACCATATTATTATATTGTTATTTCTCAACGATCTGGAAAACAATAATTCACTTACAAGTTGTCCAAAAAAAACATTACCTTAAAATAACTGGAACTAGAAATATAGTCGTTATACCAGATTCCAAGAAAGCAATAGAGATACAACTGAGCAAAATACTATATTTGTGGTATCTATATTGGTGGAATCGTTCTTGGCTATATTATATTATATGATATATTAATATGAGAATGAAATATCTTTTAGTGAACGAGTTGCATACTATACTTCTTCTACGATCGGTTCTTGGCTGCATTTTCGCAAAACGACACAAATACATTCACTGACATGATCGTCAGAATTGACAAACGTCAAAATTCAAAGCGTGGGAAATATCTCCGAAAACGTCCGATTGCTCCCAAATCAGTGCGGTAAAATCCCGCAAATGTCTGAAGCGGCTTGGATTCATGGGAAACGAAACTTACGCTTTGAATTTTGACATTTATCAATTCTGACGGTCATGTCAGTGAATGTATTTGTGCTGAAAATGTACTCAAAAACTAAGGGTCGTAGAAAAAGTACAGTATGCAACACGTTCGGTAAACTATTTAACTCACTCGTTTATTAAAAACTCGCTCCGCTCATGTCAAATAAACTCTTGAGTCAAATGCCGTTTACCGCACTTGTTGCGTAATATACTAATTGCGAGCTGTAATTTGTGAAGAGCAGTAAACAAGCATATAGGCATTTACCAAGTTTTATTTAAGCATGAACAATTGAAAATTGACTGAAGTGTTTTTATTGGCGTCATTAAACCGCGCAGATAACAAAGCTCTTAATAAATTGCAAATTTTCGAATATCAGCACTCAACGTGTTTAATATTTAAGTGGGTCAGCAAATTTCCAATGCTTCAGCAACTAGATTGCCACAAGAGAGCATATTAAAGACTCAACTCAAACAAGTAATGACGCTTTCATCAATTACATACATCCCAGAATCGCGCAATTTTAGGAAAATGATTTCGATTTGGATCTTATGCCCGTCCCATCAAGTTACAACGATGTGGCCACACAGCAAGCTCTACGTGACTACGTTGGCACAGTTTGGTACAACAGAAAATTCTTTGTACCGAAATGTTGGAGACGGAAACGAGTTTGGTTAAGATTTGGATCCGTATCTTACAGCGCCAACATCGTAAGTACAGGAATGACAAAAAATCATTATCAATTTTGCTATTACCATTTTTACCTAAAACAGACCATCAACGGCAAGCACATCGCTGACCACACAATAGGACACCTACCGTTTACTGTTCAAATTACGTCCGCACTCAAATTCGATGGAGAAAATGATATCATAGTCGCGGTTAACAATACTTTGACCAATACAACTATTCCTCAGGGTACTGTGAGCAGGTCAACTAACAGGTACGTAACAATAATAATAATAATCTAAACATCTATTTATTCAATAAAAATAGCTCCAGATTTTAAACTAAAAACGGATTAAATGGCCCCGATCTCAGTTTTAGTAACAAAGCTTCTTATTAGTACAGAATATTAACCACAGAGTTAAGTTAAACAAGAAGGAAAATTTAACAACAGCTAACAAGACATACTAAACTACTTTATCGTAATAAATACTAATAAATTTTGTAAAAAAGTATTTAACTTACCAACAAGTACTAACCAATGCAGTAAACGACAACAAATTAACGCGGTAGAATGTGATTTTTATTACAATATGTTCCAAAATTGAGGGCACAGATTTTCCCGATAATATATAAATAAATATGCAAGCGTATGACCACAAATCCTTTCCTACTGGGAAGCAGAGTGTTAAAGTAATTTTAAACAATACTTCTATTCTATTGGTAAGACCTGTATGAATTTCCGTGACAATGTGTGGATTACTTAAAACTCTAACGAGACAGCATTTCTAAACATAGTTGTTTATTACGTTTGCGCCAACCTGCGGTGCATGATTAAAAATAAGTTTACAAAACAGCATCGCAAACTATTCCTCAGGCTGTACTACAGTTAAGAGGCATTTGTTAGTCACTCCTATCTCCTTTAACTGGTTTTTACTTCATGAGTGTCAGTAGTTTTTATAAAATGAACTAATTGCTGATTTGCCTTTAATAATAATAACTTTTGTTATAATTATTTTGCAAAATTGATAATTTTTAAAAATATCCATATAATTTTTCTTTCAAGAATTTTGTTTTACAAGGTTACTTGCTAAATATTGATTACTTCCATATTAAAAGCACATTACCGAATCAGTAATTGCAAATATCCTTAAGCGAGATCATCTTAATAAGTGTTCCTAACCTAATTAATATTTCAATTTACAAATTATTAAAGTTTCGTCAACCAAAGTGGCTCCCAATGATTTATAAATAATCTACATAACATTATGTACGAACAAAATGTACAAAAATTTTGAAAACTGGTTCAATATTTTTTAATATTAATTAATACTAATATCAGGTTCCGTTTATATATCGGGGAAGATGCCAAAATTGGGAATCTCAGAAGTAATGTTATAATATATACAAGTTCCATGAAATACACGTTGATGAATAATAGAATATATATTTCATCCAGGCATCTGCCTTTTATTTCTCAAGTATCTATAGTGTAATATATGTTGCGAATTCTATCATGTTCAATTGTATACTGGATAATTAATAAATCATCATTATTATTATTGTCAGAATTATTTATAGGCTTTGTCTTAACATCACGCTCAATCTATATATCCATTAAAGTCTCTAAACAGCATAGAAAATGTTTTATGCATATCAGTAAATCATACTACACGACTTGCAGCGGTGTTTTGTCTCAGTCCTACACGTTTGATTTCTTCAATTACGCTGGAATCGATAGACCAGTTACACTTTACACCACCAGCAGGGCATATGTCGACGACATCACCATCAGGACCAGCCTTCAAGACTCCGCGGGTATGGCAATCTCGTTTTCGTGAAAGACTGATTTAAATTTTGCCGCATTTCTTAGCGTATGTTACGTACAACGTATCCATTCTTGGGAAATCAAACGTCACGACTCACAGGGTGACCATTTTGGACAAATCTGGTGAAGAAGTCGTTTCGAGTACAACCCAAAATGAAATAGAAGGCTTAACAATAGGAAATCCGCACCTGTGGTGGCCATATTTGATGGATCCATATCCAGGATACCTCTACACATTGCGGGTAAATTAAATGTACATTTTTGGTTTGTATATCATATTTGCAAAAACAAAAATGCAGGTAGATGTTTTCGAAAATGAGACTTTAGTGGACCGTTACAATCAGCCATTTGGGATTAGGGAGCTGACTTGGGACAATACCACTTTTAAAATCAATGGAAGGGCCATTTATTTACGAGGTAGGCAACAATGAAATGAAATTCGGTGATTATTGGTCCGTTTCTGATCGTGCTTTCTAGTCTTACCGGTAAAAATTTATCGAGACGTACTTCTGTCGTTTTTTTACCTGCTTTATTAATTTAATTAACTTTCTTTATTTAAATAATAGTGACTTACCTGGTAGATAGTGATTCACAAATTTACTCCTAAAGCAAAATAATTAAAGTTACATTCGAAATAAAAAAACGGGGCTTCTGTATTCTTTAGGATTCGGTAGACACGAAGACTCCGATATTCGCGGCAAAGGTCTGGATTTGCCTCTGGTAATCAGGGACCACAACCTCATCAGATGGATAGGAGCCAATTGCTACAGAACGTCCCATTACCCCTATGCAGAGGAAATCATGGATTTGGCCGATCGCATTGGTATAATGATAATCGATGAGGTGCCTGCCGTTAATATAGAGTAAGACAAAATTGTGTTAAAGCAATAACACTAATGATGTTCGTTTCCAGACAATTTAGTCACAAGTTGTTAGTAAATCACCAAAGATCGCTAACGGAACTCTACAAAAGGGACAAAAACAGGCCGTCGGTAATACTGTGGTCCGTCGCCAATGAACCAAGAACACAACACAACGAATCTGAACTATATTTTAAGCAAGTTTGCCTAGGGACTATAACATTCCGTCGAATCAAATCTTTTGTTTTAGAAACGTAGTGGAACACATCAAGGGTCTTGATGAATCTCGACCCGTGACAGCTGTTATCGCCGTCAGCCCTGAAGAAGATTATGGTGTAAGCGATAAAACCCTTCTAAGTGATATTATGCAGAAATACAACAGAGAAAAAGTTCATATATCCACAAATACCACTTTCGTTCATTCTAAATTCCATTTCATAAAAAAAAACGCTATAATATTTTAGTGGATTTTGCCAAAAATAACCAGCAATAATTTTGGAAAATTAAGCAAACATTAATTTTTAGCCTCTGAAGTAGATTACACCGAGTCATGTAAGAGGAGGTGCTCTATCGCTCTAAAATATTTTCAATTGTGCAATGTTACCTATTCTATGTAAACGTGGCAACATCGTGCTTAGTTTAAACATCACCCCCTGTGTTTTTAGATTCTACTCAAAAAATAAAATTAGAAATAATTTCCTAGACTTTAAAGAATAGTTCCGCGCTTTAATTAAATGGAAAGAAGAACTTTTCTAGACATTTCCTGGAAGCGCTCAGGCATTCTTTTCTGACTTACTATTAAAAATGATACACACATAGTGTTTCAACCAGTGACACTACAACAACAATAGAGCACCTGCTTTTACATCACTATATATAATTTAAAGTAAATCTGTTGGTTAGTTCGCCAGGGCATCCACTGTGCGACACTCAGTATAATTTGTTGAACTTTTTTAGAGCAAATATGTTGATATTGTAAGCTTTAATCGTTACGATGGGTGGTACGAATATCCAGGATTACTTGGGGAGATCATGCCAAGAATAATCGAAGAGGCTCAGGAATGGCATAAGAAATATAATAAACCCGTCATAAACACCGAATATGGGGCTGATACTTTAGAAGGCCTGCATACGGTAAGGAAGCTTCAAAAAGCATATTAACAATTAATGGGCGCGAACTGGCTTGCAGCTGCCGACCTTTATCTGGTCAGAGGAATACCAAACCGCTCTGATGTCTGAATATTTCAAAGCTTTTGATTATTTGCGGGAAGAAGAAGGGTGGTTTATTGGGGAGATGATCTGGAACTTCGCTGATTTTAAGACGGCACAAAGTAAGTAAGAATGTACTGGATATTTCTATAAATAGAGATCACAAAAACGAAGCAAGAAGAAAAGTGTCCAAATGTTGTTTTTGAAATTTTTTGCCATTTTTGCGTTTTTTTTTTATATTCGGGCACGCACCTACGTAAGCGTTGAATAATGTTTTATCAAAAACATCGGCAAACGCATTGGAATAAGGAGTATCACGTAAAATGTTGTAGCTTTTGTATTTTAAGCTAAGAATTAAACAAAAAATGACTTCCTTCCAAAATATTGCTTACTTAGTGAAAAAAAAACAATAAACTAGGTATTTTTATCAGTTAGGAAAAAGCATGTATCTAGAATTATGGTCGATCACTTTATCACCGTTCAAACAACAAGAATAATACTCATAGGAATTTTATTTTAGGACAAAATTTTGTTTGACAAGAATCAGTTTCTTCCTTATTTACTTTACACTCGGACGTCCAGTAAATTTACATTTTTAAATATCAGAATATTTTTAAGACAACCTGTATTTTTCCTTTAGCGTACACCAGAGTCGGTGGTAACAAAAAAGGCGTTTTCACGAGAAATCGGCAACCGAAAGCGTCCGCTTTTTGGTTGCGGAAAAGATACTGGGCCTTGGCTACTGTTTTAGACAATGCGACTGCACCAACGGATTTGGATGGATATGTTTTATCGGGATATATTCCGTAGGATTTACCAAATAACGTGACTTTATCAAATTACTGTTCATAAAAGGCAGCTCAGTTTTAATAATCGCCTTTCTTTAAAACTGTAGTTGTTGACACTACCTATATTTACAGTACAAGAATTATCCGCCTTAGCCACCGTATAGGTGATGCTTTAGTTTTTTGCGTATATTTCAAAACTTTGTACATATTGCTATGGGTTTTCAAGAGGGCAAAATTAAAGGCTACAGTTTATGGGAATTTTTAAATGAAATTTAAAATTCTGCGCATACCCTTGCCGCTCCCATTCCTCGTGCCATTTCGTCAGCGTATTTTTTTGGCCAAAGATGGGGTACTCAACAAAGACGTTATATCCAAGAGACCCGACAAGCCTTCAACATTGCCGGAGCTTCGCACAAGCGTGATCACATTCTAAACGCACCATTGGCGCCTTTTAGTACGACACGTAAAGATTTTGACATATCAGAGGAAACGGGATTTTAGACATTTTGAATTTGGAGGCCGAATTTGATTGTTCAATGTTGGTGATTTTGTCATTTTTGAGATTTGAGACATGTTTTGTTTCCAATTAAAAAACAAAGTGTTAATATTTATTAAACAGTTATTTAAAATGGTTTGGTTCTGTTTAGTGTTTGGAATAACCAGTTAGGATCATTCTTTCTTCCGTTTTCAAAGGTATGTTAAAACTATGGCGACGTCGCTTAAACTGCATATAGCTATTAGATAACTTGCACATTGCCCATTTTCTTTCTAAACAGCGATTTCCACACACTTAACTCTTTCTCCTAGGTCATTGGTTAAAAACGAGATTTTCAATCTTGCGAATACGCATATTGAATGGACATTACCAATTTTTGTTTCAAAGTTGCTTGATAAGTTCCTATATGATTGAACTCAATCATGGAAAATCGATTTTATAGCTACAGAGTATGAAAACGTTACAAATCATTAATTTCTGTATATGTTCCTGCTGGTTTCGACTTATTTTGTGAATGAATCAAAAGTTGACATGAGTTACTTTTTGATTTGAAGTGCATTTGGAATGGTTCTAAGTGAAAGAGTATAAAAGGTAGGGCATAAAATATAAAAATTGAAAAGAGTGAAGTAGTCTCAAAGGAAAGGGAATGGAGTGTTCGAAAGATGGTGTTACCAACGGATCCTAAGGATATCGTGGTTGATAGTGTTACAACTACACAAGTTTTGCACCGAATGGGAAAACAGGAAGAAATAATGAGAACGCTTAAAATGAAAAGGCTTGAATATTTTGCACACATAATTCGAAGCCCAAAATATATGATGCTGCAAAACATCATAGAGGGCAAAATCAAGGGAAAACGTAGTCAAGGTAGAAGGAGGGAGGTGTGGAATGTCCTCTTGAGAATAGCTGTCAACAAACTCAGGATTAGAAGAAGTATATTAATTTTTTTTAAGTTAGAAATTTGGATTTTTTTTTAAACCTAAACGTGTTTATAAACTATTCAAAATCAAATCATATTTGGAACATAATTTTAGATATTTAATATCAACATATCAACAATCATAAACTTCATGTTTGTGGCAACAATATCAATTTTTTTTACGTGTTTTGAAATTAGTCAAATAAAAATCAATCAGGTTTTCAAAATTTTTGCCAATAACAAACTTCGTTTGTGGCAATGTGTGGTAAACAAATTAATGTGGCAAAATTTTGGTAAAAATTCAACCATATTTTTCAGATTTTTAATATTTTAGCCAATCGTAAACTTTTTTCAATGACCACAAACTCCATGTTGGTTGGAACAATAATAAACACAACTTTGAAATTTCGGAAAAAGTATTGTTAAGTAAAATACCAGTTATATTAGTAATATTAGGCGTATTAAAAGTTAACATTGAAAGTGCAAAATTTGTATTGTAAATGTTTATGTTTGCTTAAAATCTAAAACTAGATGTATTGATCAACAAGACTGTTAAAAAGTACTTACGTTCGATTCATGCTTCTATTAATGAAGAAACAACATTTTTTTTTAAATATTCAGTCCACATAACACCCAGGTCTCAGTTTAAATGAAACACAAATTAACTATGTTATTTATTTTTTAATACACATTCTCAATTCTTAAAACAGAACTAATAATACGAACGCGACGAGTTTCTATGGTAAAACCAATTTAGGCGAGTTAGAAATTTTTTTAAAAAAATGCTCAATGAATAATCACAGTTAAAAACGATCCGAAACTTCGAGCCCCTAATTTATTGCTCCTGAAAACAATGACATCGCTCGTTTTATCCAGCTAAATGTTCCTTTTCTCGGTAAGATACGTCGAAAGCTACAAAAATACGTGAAAACCGCTAATCTAGATTCAAATCAAAGCCAAAAAAAAACAACCTGCACTGCGCTGACCAATCTAGAACAATAATTGACGAGTTTCGCTTATACCTAGGCAGTCGGCATTTAACAATAATAGAAACAAAGAAGACTTAAATATTGCATTGTTTGCTACAAATTGCAGTCTTAATTTCAAAACGCAAAAACCGCGGGCAAAAACCTCAGAGTCGAAAAAAGTCGTATAAACTAATAATCAACCTAACGCTAATCAAAAAGAAAACGGAGGCAAAAGAAATTAAAATACACAAAAAAGTAAATAGTATTGAATCTAGAAAAAATATTAGATATGCTATAGGTATACAAGAACTACCAGAAAGCTAGCCAACACTAACATCATGTATTACAACGAATAAACCACAACTGTAAAGCACGCTTATCTCTAAAGAACTACGAGCTCTTCTTAAAATTTAGTTGTGGCCCACGGGCCAACTTGGTGATTTTGGCGATTAGGTGCATGTTGTTAAATTATTCAAGCTTGCCATCGAGTCAAAATGGGCGGGAAGCGTAAGTAACGCCTCCTCGGCAGTGCGGTTCTCCGAACAGTTCAAAGGTTTAGCCCTGTTGGTGTCGACGCACTCGATCGGCATCTTAATCGTTTCCATGTTGTAGTTGTAACCTTGCAACGTAATCTTAAAGAGAAACATCAAATTTTGCAACAAACTGTCTACATGTTGTTATATGTTGAAAATAGTAAACAGATATCTACCCTACGATGTTTTTCGTATAATTTCTTTTATTAGGTAGCTTTTGAAATAATATTCTGGGGTCATTCCTCAAATTTAAATATAAATAAATATTAAATAAATATATAAACTCATACTTAAACTTGTTACTAGGGTAACGGAAACCATTGGTTCTACAAGTTTTGTAAGACGTCAAATAAAACCAATAACATTGGTATGACCCTTACTTTTGGTTTTATATAGCAGTTATGAAGGTTTTTTCAATTTTGCTAACTTATAAAACTAAAATAAGACATCGAGGTAAGTTTTTTAAAGGTTTCCAAGGTGTTTAATATTACTTCAAAGTCCACATATAACTATAGGGTTTTTTAAGATTTAGATTTTTAAGCAATATTCCTGAAACATGAACACAAAAATATGCGATTAAAAAATGTTCTGCGTTTTAATAAAAAAAAACATAATGAGACATTATTTTAATTTTAAGTTTTTTATCAAAATTAAGTTTAAAAAGAGGGCGCTTCCATTTTAAGAAGTTCTAAATAAAATTATGTCGTTATAGGAAATAATATTTAATAGGACATTTTTATAATAACGTCAAACGAAAAATTCACTGCTGTAAACTTTAGAGTAAAAGCAACATGCAAGGATGCGAAATAAAATGTATTGTAAACAACTGATACAGAAAAAGGTGAAGCGAAGAGGAGGCGAAAATGAATTCCTTGCCGCTATAAAACTTATTAATGGTTTTATTAACAACCTCTTAGTTGCATTTAAATGATGAGTAAAAGTTTTATATGGGACTAACATTTGATCACCGTTGCTTTCGTTAGACGTGTTTTTGTGCCCGGCCATTTTCTGCTGTCCAAAAAAAACAGAAGAAAGAATTTGCATTAAATTTTGTGTAACAAATGAACAAATGAAATATTGTCAGCGGCATATGGTAAATCTACTTTAAGTAAAAAAATATTTATGTGTTACAAGCTGTTCCAAGGTGACCGAGAAGACGCCGATGACGAACCTCGCTCTGGACGCCACAGCACGTCATTAACTGATGAAAGCGTTGAAGAAGTAAAACAAATGGTGTTGAAAAATCGTCGAATTAATATTAGTGAAGTGGCTCACGACGTCGGCATCCCTATTGGCTCGTGCCACGCAATTTTTTCCGAAGTTTTGGCCATGAAACGTGTAGTAGCAAAATTGGTTCTGAAACTGCTTAATTTTTAACAAAATGACGGCCCAAGGAGCATCGGATCCTGATATGCTCAAAAGGGTCATAACTGGTGACGAATCATAAGTATATGTTTATGACGTTGAAACCAAATCCCAGTCGTCCCAATGGAAGAACCCAGAATCGCCAAGAAAAAAGCACGTCGAATTCGATCAAATGCCAAAGGTTTTGCTTACAGTTTTCTTTGATTAAATTGGCCTAATACACCAAGAGTTTTTACCACTAGGTCGTACGGTATGTAAAAGTGAAGTTATGCGCCGTTTGCGAGAAACAATACGAAGAAAACGTCCGGAATTGTGGGAAAAAAGATCATGGATTTTGCATCAAAATAATGTACCTGCTCACTCATCATTGCTTGCGTCTAACTTTTTGGCCAAAAACAAAACCACAATCATGCCTCAGGCACCATATTCACCTGGTATGGCCCTTTGCGATTTTTCCTGTTTCCAAAACTTAAGAAACTCATGAAAGAAAGGAGGTTTGGAACGACTGAGGAGATAAAAAAAAAAATCGTTGGCACGTGTATTATTTCTGGAGGAGGGTGATTACTTTGAAGGGGTCAACATTAATCTTGACAAATAAATAAATACATTTTGATAAAACTCCTTACTATTTGAAAAGACCTCGTATATATTTTTATGTGTTTATGAGGTTCTGTCAGTTTTTTTCCATTTATATTTATTGTCTTAACGTATTTCAAACATGGTAGATATGTGTCGGTTTACGACTATCTTTTGCAATAAATGCATGTCTCTCTCACTCTTTCCCTCAACAAACCGCGTGTCCAGTTATGGGCGTGGCTCACCTTGATGATGGTGTGCAGCGGCACGTGCATGTACGGTATTTCGTCGGGTGGGGTTTCCAAAAAGTAAGCCAAAACGCAACGAAGCACCGCCTGGTGGGATATGGTTAGAATGTTTGTCTCGCATTCCATCTGGGTTAGGACGGGAACCAGTCGCGCCATAACGTCCAAGTATGATTCTCCCTGCGGGTAACGGTACTTCAGTTTTTCGCGGTCACGCAACGCCAACTCCCTGGGAAAACGCTCTTGGAGTTCCTCGTAGGAGAGACCTTCGCAATCGCCCTGCAAGTAGGATTAGGTACGCCTGGTGAGTGAGTCACGAACGAATCGTGGCGTACCTATATCGATATGTAACTAAACGATCTGATTTACAAGTATTTTTACCAGAAATAATAACAAACGTTTTTAGACACAATACAGTAGATAATACACTGGCCTCACATTTTCGCAGGGATGGGAATGCTCTTCCGTGCCATTTTCATTCTAAACATCGATCTCCACACTCTAAGTCTTAATATCTCAAAATGTCAAAATGATACTGACGCACCATTTTAAGTATTTTTATTAAATAGTAAGAGCAGTCATCCTCTTTTTAAAGGTCTTTTCAGGTTCTATTCGAATACCAATTTTGAAAACATTTCATGCATTTTTAATAACAATTTACTGTAATATAAAAATAATAATAATTATTATTGTCCATTCAATTTTTTTAATATTTGTTCTAAAATAATTCGAGTTTCATTTGTTTTTTATATTCGTTCCTATTTAGTATTTAATCGACATTCCATCGGTAATTTTAGGTTCATTATTTTGTTAGGTTAGTTAAATACTTAACAGCAATTGGATCTTGTGTTTTTCAAAATAGTTTACGCCCGGGTATTAGAGCAAAAAGCTGAAACTATTGCGATTTATGGTGAACCCAAAACTGCTCAAGATTTTTTTACTAGTGGCACTGTTAACAACATAAAAGGTTCTAGCAGAAAACCAGTTTCAGAAAAGTAACAAGTTGAGATTATCGCTACAGTTATCAACAATCGGCAGTAGGTACCTTAGAAAACAAAAGTTTCACCCCTACAAATGAAGTTTAGTACATCAGATGTCAGAAGACGATCCGGACAAACGGATGCAGTTTTGTGAAATTATGTGTGAAATAATATAATTATTCAGGTTCTAGACTATCCCCGGCTCGGATGTTTTAGTGATGAATCAACATTTTATTTGAATGGAAAAAGTAAACAGAAAAAACGTAAAAGTTCGATGAAAATCGGTAAAGAACTATTCTAAATAAAATAAATAATTGAGTTATTATGTACGGGGTGATACAATAATAATTGGAAATACATAATGTGTTGTAACAACCTGTAACGGGTATTTTATTTTAAAAATTGAAAATTATTTTTGTCCAGTATTTGAAACTATTTAATAATAAAATAAGAGTCGTACGATAGGGGCAACATATTATCATTTTTATAATTCCAATTTTCAGGAAAAAGAAAAAAATGATATCTGAAGAAGTTACTAGAATGATAATGAGGTTGTATAAAAATAAAGTAAATAATTTTCAGGAAAAAGAAAAAAATGATAACTGAAGAAGTTATTAGAATGATAATGAGGTTACTTTAAAATAGACGATTTAAAAACAGCTTCTTAAAACCGACTACAGATTGTAGAAAATACAAATTTACGAAGATTTGTTCTATTAATTTTTTTCACTTATGTTACATGATGTAACAAAATTTCCATCCGCTAAGTAATCCATCAATTTACCAACCATTCTGCATTTTCAGAGCTTTTTCCAACAGCAGAGCGAAACTTTTTTCTGATAAATTAAAATTGCAATCAAACGATTCACATCATTATTTATCTGATTGTAATTTTATTGTTCATTAAAACCAAAAATAAAATTAAATTTCAAACGAGCATCGAACTATGAAAATATTCCATTTAAGTCGTTCCCAGGAAACATGAAAATAGATCTTGGGAAAATCCAATAATTAACATAATGTCAACCGCAAACAAAAAATATTTGCTTTCAAATGTTAGATCTATTAAATCTTATTATCAGTGGTAGGAAGACAACAATATTTTTTCGAGATGGGTGTTTTATAGGTATGCTGGTTATCTCGTGTTTTCTGCTTAAGCCGTAACGTGACAACCTTAACAAGCATTACGGGCAATCAAGGATTATTTTTTATATGCGATACTCTGGCGAAAATAAAAATATTTACCATCCGAACTAAAAATATCGGGATAACGTCATCTAATTTTACACTAAACATTGTCAAAATGTAAACATAATTTTCCTCAGTATACGGGGTGTTTGGAAAATTTTATACAAAATTAAAAAAGAATGAACAAAATACCATTAATTACTGGTAAAGTTAAATTGACAGTTATACCAAGTAATATTTTAATGACAGTAGCCATTTGGAGAAGTATCTCTCATCTCTCTCTGGATGAAACTATATATTTTCGGCTCTATTTTCTCAAGTTTATGTGGGCTTTTCGGAGAAAACACTTATTACCTACCGACCAAATTTCGTCCAATTCGCTCAAATGTTGTTGGGGCGCATTGATCAATGCGGCTGTGGCTTTGGTTCTTTGGAGCGTGGAAGTCCAGACTTGCAGGCAAGGCAAATTTAGGGCGTGGATGTGCTTGGCCATTGAATGAGAGTACATGCGGCCTCGGGGGGACAGTAGGGCGTCCCCTCCGATACGCCCGATCACGTTGAACTCACTTTCGCCGTGCTGTTAAGAAAACGTATTTATAATTAGCGTAATAACTATGCCAGTAGAATTTTTATTCGGACAAAAAGAATAAAGTTTCGTTTTATGTCCACGGGAGGCCAGACACTGATTTGGCTAGCGAAGTTTTCAGACATCAATGTTTTCAATAATGTGTAGTGTAAGTAAATATTTTTGAGCTATTTGGAGATCAAATTTTCATTTTATAAACAACAGGGATATTTTTTAATTTCATATAGAAGGAAAAAATATTTAAATTACTCATTCAAAAATACATTTTTCGGATATAATTGATTTGATATATTGCAACTTTCACCACACAATGTTGCAACAAAGAACAAAATAGATCAGAAATTCGTCTCGTAAGTGAGGTTTTTGAAACTACCACATTTTTTGTGAACTGATAATTATACATATTATATATAGATTATGAGGAATACGTTATTCGGTGTTAATGAAATGATATACAACTTAATGGTGTAGGGGAACAAATGGCAAAAATAATCGTTATAACGGTTCCAATCTGAAATTATAGAAAACTTTCTTCGAAGGTTTGGCATGAAATACATGTGCCACTATTTTCAGTTAAGTATCCTAATACTATTCCTAGGCAATAATTAGAAAATAAACTACAAACAAGAAAAGAAAAAGTACAGGAACTCAAAGTATCACGATTAATTATTATAGGTATGCTACTGAAAAAGATCTAACCTTACTACGATGAAATTACTAATTATATATGGAATCATAGAGAACTATCAACGTGGAATAATAGAAAAACCTCAATATCCAGTTTTCTAACTATCGATAAGATAAGATATGGATTTATCAAAATCAGTTCACGTATGCTTTAATTTATTTTGCATGCATTTTACGTTTGGTGTAACCTTGTCCGTATATAATAAATTGAGGCAACCAAAACGGACTGTCGCTCCACCTAAATCAAAAAGTTGAACTACTATAAAAGTAGGGGCAGAAATTGCTTCCGTTTAGCACTCCGTAAACAAGATTGACATTTTATCCAAATAATGCGTCAACATAAAATTAAAATATCATGTATCATAACGTCCAATTGCGATGTCTATCCACTTTACTATGATGCGTAAATTTTGATACATATTAAAACGTTTATTGCTTTATGACGATTTTTACGAACAAATGATCGACATTTACAACCAGATCGGACGCAACAACTTTGCGAGTTTTTCGACCAAGTAATTAATGTTTAAAATTATTAGGTTGTTCAGTTTCAGTTCTTCGTCCCCTTCACAGCATGATAGTATCGCCAAAATAGTGCTTTTTGATTTGGTTTTGTTATTTCAAATTTTGGCAGGGGCGGAGTTACTTTTTGTCGGAAATGAAGTACACTCAACACTAAAAATAACATTTCGGGACTTCAATAGAGCTCACGCTAACACGCGAGGAAACCTATTTTTGTGCGAAAAGCCAGACAACTTGGAATCAAGCAAACGATACTCTCAAAACCGTGTCTCACGCCCACAAATTTTTAAATATCGAGAAAACACTTTTGGTTAGATATAGCGAAGGTAACAAATTTGAAATTATTTTCAAAGGCAAATAATAATGACCAAAGCAATTTTATATGAGGTATTACCCCTACTTCACCATTTGTATTTTTTTACATAGTCATTTATTATTATAGTCATTACATTGAATTCAAATCTCTGTTTTATGCGGATGTAGTACTGTTTTTACTTATTTATGCATTCTACTCAAAAGAATGGCATTCCAAATATCTACAAATGTATCATCGTACATAAATATCTTAAAAAATATTCACGAAAGTACGTACGCAAACAAAAATATGTTTATATCGCGAATACGTCGTTATCATCCACTTTTCTTATCAAAGGAACCAAAAGATAACTTTGTTTTTCATACGCTCTGCTTTTGTGCCAGAGGTGAAATTTACGTCAATAATAGTCCCCAAATCCAAATCTGGAAAAATCCGTATCCACAAAGATCACACCTTCCAGCAATTAATAAATAAATCTTAGGGCCAGAAATTAACAAGAAGAAGAACACAAGAGGAAGAGGTGAAAAAGAGACGACCGTGTGATGAAAATAGAGACCGAAACTCATTTAAATGTTTTTTCCTACTTCCTACTCTAAAATTGCAATTATGCACGTTTCAAATGTGCGGAAAGTATCACTATAAGACGTCAGCTTCATGAAAAATCACTTATGACAATCACAGTACTTTCGTCATCGGTTTGCAAAAATGTACCGTGCGTTCAATTTAACTTGATAACATTTTAATTGGCTGTAACTTGTTTGTTTTTAGAGATATCAAGGTAAACAAAAAAAAACAAAATGTTGGGTTAGTAGCCAAGTTTTTATTTTCAAGCGACGTATAAAACAAAATGCTATCAATTTTGTGACACATAAGCCTACATCATATTTTTATAAAGGGAACATCTTGTATATTATATGTCGTCGTCAGTATATTAAGTTTTATCCAGAGCGCCGAGCTCCTTCAAAACAGATATTTTCAAGGCTGGCAAAGAAATTTGCAGAAAACGGTAACGTATTAAATACTGAAAAGGTATGCCGGAATCATAATGTTTTAAATGAAGAAAATAAGGCAAATATATTAAGATTCTATGAAGCACAAGCAGTTTCTTCTATTACTAGAGTATATGAAGGGGATCAATGCATTCAATTTTGCAGTTTTGCTTGGATTTTTTAAATAGAAATAATGAAAATAATAAAGAAAAGGTTGTAATAGACAAAATACACGATATTGGTCTTTAAATAATCCTGGACAAATGCACGAAATAAAAATCCAGGAGTTGTTGTTGTTGTTGTTGCATTATATACTATTAATTTGTTTGCTAGAATAAAACTACTAAACTGTGTCGATTTGAGTTGGTAGGGCCTGCGAAGAGTGCATTTAACTAACATTAACTAATACTAATAAAATTGACGAGACTATAAATCTCTAATCTAAGTTCAAATCGTAATATTAACAATAACAGAGCAAAAAAACCTTAATTGAAAACATTTCCGGAGCGGCACAATGGAAATAACAAATCAAAATGCAAAAAAAAGTTCACCGCCTCCGCTGTTAATAATAATTATTGTCCTTCGCACGAAGTTGGCAAACAAACGTTACAAACGGCGCAAAAGTCTAAAGTCCGCATTCCCCTAACATGTGACGAATGCAACGAGCGTGCAACTATAGCGATTAAGACGTAGGCACCGTAAATCATGAACATTATTTTTTGTTTGGACCACAAACGGGAGTTGAAAGATCGGGTAATGGAACAATGCACAGCGTAGCTCATGATTGTGATTCTTTTATTGCGATTCTTTTATTGAACCATAAGGGTTTGTTTTACTGAAAAGTTCTAAATACACAAGTTACTTGCATGAACTGGTACTACACAATCAAAATACCTCCCATTATACAAGTTAATACAAAGTCTCTCTCACAGCACCTAGTATATTATTTATTTTTTGATTTCGGATAAAATTTCATTGTGGGTTTCTTCAGATTTCCGTATACTCAATTTGATATGTCGTTTCGAAATTGGTATCGAGAATTAGTTTATCGCTCGAGGTGTTCAAACTAACCAATGCTGCAAAACTTTTCAAATACATCAACCTGTATGTTATTGTACGGTATGTTACATAATTTAATTCTACATCGATTAACCATACCGACTTTCTTGTGTTTTATATTTTATATGGAAATGTCCAACTCACGTGATTTTTGAGCCATTGTATAACAGTAACAGGCACTGCGCTAGTCCTAGTCATGATATGAAAAAAAAACTGATAGGGTGATTTGGATGGTCAGTTTGATATAAATGGAACCAACAGCGTGTAAAAATTTGTAGAAAGGATTATGGGGTTTGAATAATAAGAGAGAAAATATGAAATAACAAGAAAATCGTAACTTTGCAAATACCGCGGATTTTTTTAAAACAATCATTCATGACTAGCAAAACCTGAAATAAGTTTTTTCATAAATCGAATGAAATACTGGCTATTGTATTTAAAATAACTAACTTTGGTGCAGTTAGTTAAGAGACACAATTGAATTGAATACAGTATTTTCATACAAAGAACTTTTGGGTTTAAGATTTTTTCGATAAAATTAACTCTTTTGTTATAAAAGAATGTGTGTGTACTGAGTTACGCACTGCAAGGTGATTCAGGGTGGATGACACTTCAGACATTTATGACAATTTGGTCATTTTGGTCTTTACACGGCATTTTCCGGTGGTTCACCAATTATAATATGATAATAAGTTTAAACCAGAACCGAATGGCTACAAACACACACAACGGTTAATAGAACCTTAGGGCCTATTACTTCTTGTATATATAATGTTTTAAATACATGCAAACGAAATCTATTTTAACCGGTGAACAAAAGTGTGTGCAATCAATCCCACAGCTGGCAAACAGAGTCACTTACGTCCCGTGAAAACGTCGAAACGTTGGCCCGCAAATTAAAATATTAGGTGATTCCTCGTATGATTTTGTTCGCAGAAATCAATTTGGTGAATCGTGGTGTGCCGCTAAATATACTTTTTTTTGCGATATTTTTAAACCGAGACTCCAGGAAGCCAGTCGGCGTAGATAAATTTCGAAAACGATTTCAGTGAACATTGTTTGGATATGGAATGCGAAATGAAAGTATAAACGAAATCTGTTTAATTTTAGCACACAAGCCACCAACATATCAGACAGATACGCTTAATTTAAGGAATAGGTTAAGGAACATGATCGTCGAGGCGATCCACAATAACAGATTTAAAATTTACCCTCGGAAACATATACACCACCTGCAATTACATCATGCATGCAGTAAAAACTAGTTTGTGGCAGGTATGTTTTTCCGGAATAAGCAATGTTTCCTTTTTAAACGAGATCTAATTTACAACCTAATTTTAAACTAATGTTATAAGCAATTCAATCGGTTAAAGTTAGCCAAAAAATACACCGTTTTTACAACAACTTATGGTTTTGACTTCGGAATGAGTTTAAGACCCGCCTGTTGTAAAGCAGAATAGACCATTCTTCCCATGTACCACAAGCCAGGGCCGTATTTGAGATGTTAGTCGACATGAACCGTGCCGTGTGGACTGTTGTATTTTAAAAGTAGGGACATTTTCCTTGATTAAACTGCTAAATTAATTCATATTAGTGAGCTTTTTATAAATCTTCCTAAAACAATCCCTACTTGAGGTAGCTCGATTTCAAGTTGAATTTACACATTAGATTATTTGATCTCCTATATTGAAAACACATTACAAACCTTAAACTGATTTAAAATTTAAGGGTTTTAACATAATGACTTTAAAATCTAGGAAAGCAATGCAAAATCTTATGGAGATAATTGATTTATAATGGATGTTTTCTCAGTTTACTATTGGCTGATTTGTGGGGTTTTGTGTTTGTGATTAGTAATTACCAACTTACTGTTATTCAATTGTTTTTCAAGACTCGGTGTGCCATTTTTATCTAAGTACCATATACAGTTTATTACAATTTATTTCTTACCAAGAAGAAAATGTTTACAGAAGTCGACTAGTGTCGGGCTTAATTATTAATATGGGCAACGAGTCCACTGAGGACAGTGATTATTTTGATGGAGAATTACCTTTTTTTTTAATACTCTAACATTGTTTTATAGTTAAATTTACTCCTTCATTTATATTTAGAATAAGCATTTTAAAGTAAGAATGGTTTTTTTACTGCATGGACTAATAATAATCGAGGAATCTCACCGATGAAACTCTACACAAATTCGTCAGCGTTCTGGAACGTCATTGTAAAACTGCGAATCCATTTATTGAGAGTTACAAAGAGAAACCCAAGGGAGGTAGGCCTGCAGTTAGACCTTCATAAAAATTCACCAAAGTTAAATACCGGATTTGATGCCCCACAATTAAAGATATTCTTTTACCACATTATTTAGCAAAATTCATTTTTCTACCGCAACATAGCTATAATGCTCTCTAACGGCATGAAACAAACCTGAAAATTATTTGCAATATTTAATTTTGGTCACTTTTGGGTCTTTTTGTATATAATATATTGCAATATGTGAAAACGATTTCAATATTTTACATGTTTTTACGCGACCATCTCTGAGGAGATATTTAAAATAAAACCTCTTAAACAGACGAATTTTGCAAAATCCAACGAGTTTAAGTTGTTGGCAAATATTGAAAGAAACCACTTTAACCGTCTTAATAACTCGCGCCAAAATAGTGGGGATACCAACGATAATCCATTCCTAATGTAGGGGAGTTGTTTATGTTGGTTATCTTTAAGATACTTTGTATCAAGCACTTGTAGCATGAATTGCCACAAGTGCTTGATAATAATATTGGCAAATAAAATATTTGACAATATTGAACCGTAAAAAATATAAATGAAAAATAACTCACCCTGCTGAAGTATAAAGTTTGCTGATATGGTTTGGGTGCAGATATGTAAGCCAGAATCTTGCTCTCCTTGATGCCGGTGACTCCATGGGCGATGACGCCGCCGTCTCCGCCGTCCAACAGCTTCACCATGGGACAGGGCAACTCCCAAAGGCTACCCAACGTCGGGGACTCGTACTGCGCCTTGTAATGCGCCATCTTATACGTGAGATCTTTGAGCGACTCCTCCATCGCCATGTCTTTGTAATCCGCGCTGTACTGGAGTATTTCCTACGCAAAATGGTACGCGACCGTTAACGGACGAAGAGGTGCTAAATTTTCGATCCTACTTTGAAATTCCTCTCGAGCAAGACGGGGTCCTCGCAAACGCATTCGATGAACATGACCCTAAAGCCGAGTTGCTCGTGGACCAAATCGTAGATCTCCTGCCGTTGGGCCCGCGACACGTTCGGCCCGTCCAAGATGGCCACTTTGTGTCCCGGTTCTTCCAGCCAATTGGCGGCGTCCTCGAGCGCCTCCCTGAAGCTCTGCTGTCTGATGGCGACCGCGGGTAAGTTGTCTGCGCGGAACATCTCGTGCGACGCGTACTGTTTCATGTGCTTGCGCCGATACTCGCTGATATCGTATACTGGAAGAAAACGGAAGAACATAGTTGCAAGAAAAAAGTATGTGGTAATTTAGACCAGCTGCTTGGTACAGTTTTCATTTAAAAAATCATAACCCTAATGGCGTTCAATTAACCGTACGTACAAATGGTGAAACATTTAAATAAAAAAAGAGCAACAGTTAAATTTTATTACGGATAAAACCGGGTTTTGGTACTCGTAAAAATTCAACAGGCGATTTGAACGAAATTTTCATACTCGCCAAGATGTCTGGGACGTATACCTCTATAGCAGGTGTCCCAGTGTTTTAGTCCGCATATTTTATGTTATTAAAATTGACAAGAAAAACCAATCAAACAAAAAACAAGGTCATGTTTATAGTGTAATATTATTAATTAATAAACTTGATAGACAATAGATGACCAAAGGAGTGCGCCTCCTGGGGTACTATAGGCGTCATAATAAAAAATTGCCTTCCGTAATGTGATTGCAATACTTCCTGAAATGATTGATATATAACACGGAAAAAGGAAAATTACGAGCTCACGGTTAACTGACCACCAAACTACGGACTTTTTATAAGCTTAATAATCAACTTCAAATCATAAAATCCAAGTTAAAAGTTCTAATTTTAATTACAACGGCAACACAATACGTGTTTAAAAAAATGGCCAAAAATGATTTATAAAACCTGTACTAGGTTTATTGACATTTTTTATATCTTCATAATAATATAATTAAATATTTACGATGAAATTTATCAATGGGTGCTATTAAAAATTCAATTAAAGAAAAAGAGCAAATGTAACATGTATGCATACAACAAAACGTATAAAATAAATAAAATAAAATGTGGTAGTCTCGTTGTTGAAATTAGGTTCAAATTTAAAACGCTTCATAATTTACTGAATTTTAAGTAAGTACACTATATTGGAGTATAAAAAATTAACATTTTATTTTCTGAAAAGTGGAAGAAATTTATGGGTCAAATGTGAACTTTATTTATAATCGGCAAAATTTCAAAGGTTATTCACAGTACACTTATAATTTATAGAAGCGGCAACGACCGCTTTTAGATTGCTAGCTGCATTCACAAATATTAAAGACAACAAATAAACCGTTATTTCAAAAGTTAAGCCAAAAGAAAAATAGTTGCTTAGTTGTAATTTTTGAAGATACAATTACTTCATTTGGACCGTCACAAACTAGGACTCCCTCTGCATACATCTAGCCCAATAAGGCGGCAGCTTGAACCTCTGTCGTGGTACTACAGTGGTTTGAAAACAAAGGCGTCATGATTATTATCACTTTTTGGACAGTCTTCTTCTTATGGCACCGTATCCTTTTGAAGGTTGGCGATCCAAATAGCTAACGTGGTTCTAGATACGGCCATACGGAAGATGTCGAGCGATGAACAACCAAACCATAGTCGAATGTACTTCAACCAAGAGTTTTGGCGCCTGCCAACCGACCTTTTGCCTTGGACTTTGCCTTCCATGATTAGGCGCAGAAGTTGATACTTTTCACCTCGCATTATGTGCCCAATATAACGAGTTTTTCTTTCTTTGATTGTAAGCATAAGTTCTTTTTGTTTTCTCATGCGATTGAGAATTTCTCCGTTTGTTACTCTTTGGACCCATGATATTCTTAGTATACGACGGTAAATGTACATTTCAAATGCATCTATTTTCTCTTCTAGTGATGGGTTTAGGCTCCAACTCTCACATCCTTACAGAAAAACCGAGAAAACATAGCATCTCACCATGCGTACCCTGAGCTCCACGCTCACATCTGATCTCACGAAAAGTCTCATATTCAAGAATGTTTTTCTGGCCTGTTCTATGCGGCATCTGACTTCTTTACTTGGATCACATTGATCATTTATGATGCTCCCCAAATATTTGTATGAAGACACTCGTTCCACTGCAGCACCATCAACATTCAGACGAACCTGAACAGGTGTCTTAGTAAATGCAATGACCTTAGTTTTTGTAGTGTTTATGAGGATGCCAGCGTTTTCACTATATCGCACTATGTGACCCATTAGCCTCTGCAGGTCCTGCGCATTCTCGGCTAGCACAACGGTGTCGTCGGCATATCTGATGTTGTTGATCATTTTCCCGTTGATCTTAATCCCACACTCGATTCCGTCCAGAGCCTCTGCGAAGATTGCCTCTCAGTATAAGCTGAATAATAGCGGCGATAACACACAGCCTTGCCTTACACCTCTTCTAATCATGATTGCCTCTGATGTTGTTTCTTCAATTTTCACTACTGCGTTTTGCTTCCAGTAGAGATTTGTAATTAATCAGATTTCTTCTCTATCTGTTCCAGTTTTTTTGGGTCCTTCTATGAGCTTTTGGTGTTTAACGCAGTCGAAAGCTTTTTTATAATCTATGAAACAAGCGACGACATTGACATTCATGTTCCTGCATCGCCGAGTTAGAACGTTCAGCACGAATAGCGCTTCACGAGTACCTAAGCCACTGCGGAATCCAAATTGAGTTTCATCTAGTTGGTATTCGCATTTCTTGTGTTGGACAGTATCTGATATTATTTTCGATTTTGCATTTAAGGCCATAATTCAGATTCTTTAAGTGGAAGCAAGTACATAAACATGTTTAGAATGTAAACACATTCACTCAAGTGGATATTTTTTTATATAATGGAAACAATCATTGTTCATTTACCGTATCCAATTATAATGTTTTTGTTTACACCTTTACAAAATATTAAAATAATCCATTGATTACATACCACTATTACCTTGGGTACTTGACCACTGGCGTAGCATCGATCCCCTGTTATATGCACTTTTAGAATGTTGAAAAAACTTTTCGATGGGAACAAGTTTGTTGATATTTTTCCTGCTATTGCAAAAACAATGTACAGGAACTTTCAGTATGAAGCATGGGGAAAGCAGATGAAATTATATACAGAACTCATATTGTGGGTCTTCCCAAAATATAATGAGAGATGCTTAAAATTTTACTACATTATGATGTTTAGTAAAATTCTGCCACCCTTAAAGAGTGAATTTTGTTTTCTACGCTACGCTACTGTAATAAAGTCGTCATTTGGGTTTACTTGAACTTTCTATCCATGACCGTAACATCCAAGGTTATCAAATTATTGGATAAAAACAACCGGAAGGTATTGCACACTCTTTAGTTAGTAGTTCCTAATTGAATTAGTTGGCCTGCATCCATTTGAAATAGTAGTAGCGTTTTGCACCAGAGTAGGACAGGGAACACTATGCATAGTGATGCATGTGTGATTCTCAATCGATAATTTGACTTTCTTTGAAAAATTAAGAAACAAAAAATTCCAATTGGCTCACCAATTGATAAAATGTTGTTTGCCTTGGCAAATTTGACCAATAGATATCCCGATCGCTTCATTACCAACAAATTGTCGAAATCAGCGATATAATTATACAAATTAAATAGAAATATAATCTATATAATTGAACCTGAGCTTCGTGGTAAATGTATACGCTGGACAACGTAGGCATCGAAATGGCTAGTAATTAAATACCTTAACGATTCGATTTTAAGTGAATTCTGTATTAATTCTGTTTTCGTCGCGTGAAATTTGTAAAGTTTCGTCGCTGGTGGGGAGAAAATTTCACACTTGCTTCGCGATGTTTTGTTTAAATGTTTATTAATTTTTTTCACACGTTTATCTTGTAAAAACTTTACAAAATCATATCTAATGTAAACAATTTAATTCCAATGTGTATTAAGAAAGATTTCATTTCAAGTTGTTATCTCGCTACGGTCAATTTTTAGTCGTGCTTTGCGATACGGCTTTGAACTGCAGAAATATTTGATAAGCATTATCTCACAGACCAGAGGCCCCCCGTTAAACGGGGTTAGCCTTATTATAAACAAAAAAAATACGAAATAGTGTTAAGTTTAACGACTTTGCTTCTTTCTTACCTTTGGCGGTATCGTGTGTGTAATTCAGGTACCGCATCAGTCTCTTAGCCAAAAGACTCTTGCCCCTCCCCGGTAGGCCTACCATCGCCACTAGGAGTGGCGCGAACTGCCTGAGGGTGGATTTTTTGGTACCAGCAGCCGGCGTCACCGACTGCGTACCTGGAATTACAAAACGAGAACCGTTCATCGTCACGCTCCGTAGTAAACTGGTTCAGCGATACACGAACGTCAACTATATATGTACTAAAACGTATTGTTTAAACAAACACGGGTCACAGATAATTATTAATGTGTGTAGATATATATATATATATATAGCACGTCCGATTATCGGTCGACTTCGAGATGCCAATTCGCAAATTTTATAGTTCATATAGGGCCGAAACACTCGACAATCGATACAAATCATATTTAACCCGCTATGATTATAATATATTCAACTCGACTTAAAAAACACCATACGCTATTAATATAGAACTGCCAATTTCTATACCAGTAGGGTGAAGAAAAAAGAAATTTGTAAACTGCGCGGCAGATGAAACTAAAAAGTTGCCTAACTTTGACCGGCCAACATTTTCAAGCAGTGGGGCCAAGCGTCATTCTTGATCTATGCGTCAGTGAAACCGGATTTTTTTTTTCAAAACCCCTCTTGTTATACAGGGTGTGAATGTAAGGCGGCGAAAAATTTCCATATTTTGACGAAGAATTTGGAAAAGATTTTTTGAAACATTGCGCTGATGTGGAAATATGGCCCTTTTATGCAATTTCTGGTAAAAATTAGGCGTCCCACTCCATCTGTTGCAATTTATTTACGAGCATGTATAGATCATGTTCTTAACCGACATGGTTACACATTGGCGCATTACTATGAGTAAAAATATTGACTTTCAGGTTTGAAACTTTGCCGACACATTCTGTAGTTCGATTCTTTTATGTTCTGTGATAGTGCGTTTGAATTTTCTACATTTCCTAGTAGTATTAGACCGTTTCCTGGGTAGTGATTTTTAGATTCGAGAAGTACGATTTTTTTTTTGGAAAACAGTAATAAATAAATCTTTAAAAAGGATGCTGTTAAAATATTATTAAGATTGTATCTGAAATGGGATCAGGTCAATTTGCTATATTTGTAGGGAACCACCTATATTTATTAAAAAGTTTACTAATACATCGCTTAAATTTTGACAAGAAATACTGAACACAAATGCCTTAGATTTAAATAATATTATACAGTCTTGACAACAAATTTCCAAAATTTGCAGCCAGTTCATATGCATTTTAATCACATTGGTTCTGGTCATTTCCACTAACGGATATCATGGATCTACTTAAACCTCAAATATTTTTTGTGAAGAAAAGTTTTTCAAATTCTCAAGAACAGCTATAATTAAAAAAGGAAAAATATTAGATTACTTATTGAAAATAGAAAATTCAACATATGCAACAACCCGTATATATATATATATATATATATATATATATATATATATATATATATATATATATATATATATATATATATATATATATATATATATATATATATATATATATATATATATGATGACACTATATTCCGGGATATCATCCGTTCGCTCGTTGAACTCCGACTGGAATCCTGCATCCGACTGGAATCCTGCAAATCTTGCATCCGACTGGAATCCTGCAGACGTTTCGCCAAAATCTCACTTGGCATCTTCAATGCTCGCGCTCCGAAAACACTTCGAACACTGGGAGGTTATCGGCGGTGCGTGCGGTATTTATACTCTGCGCCGGAGATGGTAACGGTGCTGCTTGTGCGTGGGGGGAGGTGGCTCCGCCCCCTGAATTGTCGCGTTGTTAATTTCGCCCGATCGTAGTTGCGATGTCCCCGTTGGCTGCTGCGCATCGCTCTGCTGTTTGATTATCGTTCTCCACGTGTTGGATAAATGCAGAGCGACGTCTCTCGTATTGAGGTGTCCGGACTTTTCTATTTCGATGGCCTCTCGTATAATCCTAGTCCTAAAATCAGGAATATTAGCTATTTGTTTGCAAGTGCCGAAATCAATTTTATGGCCTGTCTGATGTTGGTGCTGAAACAAAGCAGATGTTGTTTGTTTGTTTCTTATGGCTAAACGATGTTCCTCGAGCCTGGCTGAAATCCTTCTGTTGGTCTGTCCCACATACGTCAGGCTGCACGATCCGCATGCTACACTGTATACTCCTTGGTTTTCCAGAGTCCAGCGTACTGAATAAAGGATTTAACTACGCAATAGCTCCAAAAAGAGTACCCGTCGAAGAGATCGTTTCCAACGTCGAAGCAAGTCTTTCCACCATAGACGAACAAGATGCGGAGTTAATTAGGCAAGATGTCGCCAGAGTCTTAAGACAGTCAAAACCACCGCAACCAAACTTAAGCAGAGAAGAAATGCAAGCCTTAAGGAATCTAAACAAAAACGAAAACATTCTAATAATGCCAGCAGACAAAGGAAATGCCACTGTCGTCATGAATACATCGGATTATAATGCAAAATTGGAGGATATTTTGAACGATCCAATATACAAACTAGTCACCAGAGATCCCACGACATATTTGGAAAAAACAACTAAGTCCAAAATTCTCGATTCATCAATAAACGAGGATACAAAGAAGAAACTTATTCCGAGGGAAAAATCGAGTCGTTGCCCAAAATTCTACGGGCTCCCAAAGATCCATAAGGACGGGGTTCCCCTGCGTCCAATCGTAAGCGCCTTTAACTCACCATTATGCAAGCTGGAAAAACATCTGGCCAGTGCACTTCAGCCTATAGTGGAAAAGGCAGATTCCTATGTTAAAAACTCAGAACATTTCACTCAGATTTTAGGTTCTCTCAGGATGGACAAGGACGACATTATGGCAAGTTTCGATGTCAAATCCCTCTACCCGAGTATTCCAGTAGAAGAGGCACTCTTGCTTATAGAAGAAAACGAAGATCTTCCGCCATACATAATGGATCTGTCAAGACATTGCCTGAAAAACGCTTACTTTATGCACAACGGGAAAATTTACCGACAAATAGATGGAGCAGCAATGGGATCATCTCTCTCACCTGTGATTGCCAACCTCTTCATGATTTACTTCGAAAAGAAAGCAATAGAGAAGGCAAATCTGAAGCCAAAACTATGGACAAGATACGTTGATGACGTATTTGTTGTATGGCCTTTTGGCAAGGAGGAGCTTTTGAAATTCCTAGATCATCTGAATTCCATTCACCCAAGGATTCAATTTACAATAGAACTTGAAGAGGATAAGAGGATAACAGTCTGCCCTTTTTAGATGTGCACATCACAAGGACCGAAGATGGACACTTGGAACACACGTCTATAGAAAACCAACACACACTAATAGATATCTGAACGCTAAATCTCATCACCACCCATCACAGATACAGGCAGTGGCAAATACATTAATTGCTCGGTCCTTCAGGCTCACAAACGAGAGGAACAGAGATAAAGAACTGAAGAAAATTAGTACCTGTCTTCAACAAAACGGATACCAAAGGCGCACCATCAGCAAGGCAATCAGTAAACAACAACAGCCGCAGCAGAGAGTGCAGGACGAGACCCAACGAAGATCGATCGCTGTCCTGCCATACATCAAGGGGGTTACTGACAAAATCGGCCGAATATTACGGAAACACGACATATCAACGGCATACAAACCTGACCATACCATCGGAGCAATACTAAGAAACCCAAAACAAAAAATTACTCTGGAAAACCAAGGAGTATACAGTGTAGCATGCGGATCGTGCAGCCTGACGTATGTGGGACAGACCAACAGAAGGATTTCAGCCAGGCTCGAGGAACATCGTTTAGCCATAAGAAACAAACAAACAACATCTGCTTTGTTTCAGCACCAACATCAGACATATTCCTGATTTTAGGACTAGGATTATACGAGAGGCCATCGAAATAGAAAAGTCCGGACACCTCAATACGAGAGACGACGCTCTGCATTTATCCAACACGTGGAGAACGATAATCAAACAGCAGAGCGATGCGCAGCAGCCAACGGGGACATCGCAACTACGATCGGGCGAAATTAACAACGCGACAATTCAGGGGGCGGAGCCACCTCCCCCCACGCACAAGCAGCACCGTTACCATCTCCGGCGCAGAGTATAAATACCGCACGCACCGCCGATAACCTCCCAGTGTTCGAAGTGTTTTCGGAGCGCGAGCATTGAAGATGCCAAGTGAGATTTTGGTGAAACGTCTGCAGGATTCCAGTCGGATGCAAGATTTGCAGGATTCCAGTCGGAGTTCAACGAGCGAACGGATGATATCCCGGAATATAGTGTCATCATATATATATATATATATATATATATATATATATATATATATATATATATATATATATATATATATATATATATATATATATATATATATATATATATATATATATATATATATATATATATATATATATATATATATATATATATATATATATATATATATATATATATATATATATATATATATATATATATATATATATATATATATATATATATATATATATATATATATATATATATATATATATATATATATATATATATATATATATATATATATATATATATATGGGTTGTTGCATATGTTGAATTTTCTATTTTCAATAAGTAATCTAATATTTTTCCTTTTTTAATTATAGCTGTTCTTGAGAATTTGAAAAACTTTTCTTCACAAAAAATATTTGAGGTTTAAGTAGATCCATGATATCCGTTAGTGGAAATGACCAGAACCAATGTGATTAAAATGCATATGAACTGGCTGCAAATTTTGGAAATTTGTTGTCAAGACTGTATAATATTATTTAAATCTAAGGCATTTGTGTTCAGTATTTCTTGTCAAAATTTAAGCGATGTATTAGTAAACTTTTTAATAAATATAGGTGGTTCCCTACAAATATAGCAAATTGACCTGATCCCATTTCAGATACAATCTTAATAATATTTTAACAGCATCCTTTTTAAAGATTTATTTATTACTGTTTTCCAAAAAAAAATCGTACTTCTCGAATCTAAAAATCACTACCCAGGAAACGGTCTAATACTACTAGGAAATGTAGAAAATTCAAACGCACTATCACAGAACATAAAAGAATCGAACTACAGAATGTGTCGACAAAGTTTCAAACCTGAAAGTCAATATTTTTACTCATAGTAATGCGCCAATGTGTAACCATGTCGGTTAAGAACATGATCTATACATGCTCGTAAATAAATTGCAACAGATGGAGTGGGACGCCTAATTTTTACCAGAAATTGCATAAAAGGGCCATATTTCCACATCAGCGCAATGTTTCAAAAAATCTTTTCCAAATTCTTCGTCAAAATATGGAAATTTTTCGCCGCCTTACATTCACACCCTGTATAACAAGAGGGGTTTTGAAAAAAAAAATCCGGTTTCACTGACGCATAGATCAAGAATGACGCTTGGCCCCACTGCTTGAAAATGTTGGCCGGTCAAAGTTAGGCAACTTTTTAGTTTCATCTGCCGCGCAGTTTACAAATTTCTTTTTTCTTCACCCTACTGGTATAGAAATTGGCAGTTCTATATTAATAGCGTATGGTGTTTTTTAAGTCGAGTTGAATATATTATAATCATAGCGGGTTAAATATGATTTGTATCGATTGTCGAGTGTTTCGGCCCTATATGATATATATATATATATATATATATATATATATATATAATATATATATATATATATATATATATATATATATATATATATATATATATATATATATATAAATTCGTAATATTAAATAAAATAGTTTTTCAGTAGATTCGGGATAATATATTGCCAACACAAATTAAAATAATAACCATATGTAAATAGAGCAACTATGTAGTTCACTATTGTTATCCTTATCTCGAAGTTTTTTTTTTTCAAACAAACAAAAGTCTCACGAGAACTTAAAATTGTCATTAAGATAGCGTAGATACGGATTCATATCGCTAAGATCGCGATGATGACGAAACGTATCTCATTAACACAAAAATATAATTAAATTAAGACGTATGTCAGGCAATAATATTTACAAGCCACTTAACTAAGATTTATTCGCCCGATGGACAAAACATTTAAACGCGTAATTTTATCAAGTCCCAAATATTTACACCGATCGCAGAGAATATCAATGGAGCTTAATTTTGAAGCATTTCAGTTGAAGCAACGTAAGCAATATTTGTATTTAAATTAGTTTTAATTCGATTAAAAGGGGTTTAAAAATAGTAGAATTGAGGTGTTTGAGAGGCGTACAGAATGAAATCCTCCAAACATTCAATTCAACATTTCGCGCACTGAAATCTACCCGAGTTTATTTTCTAGAATAAGTTAAATTAAACAAAGAACGGGCCAATTCAAGTAACAACAAGGCGCAAAATAACGAATTATTTATAAATTAGCAGATCAATGTTAATAAGATACTAAACAAAGCAATAGAAGAAAGAATGAACGAACGAAACTATATTAATGGGTGTAAACGAAGTAAACATCTATTTATTTACCATAGTACCAGTATGGAGTCTGGATTTGGATTAATTCCTATACACCCTGCTTAATTGAACTTTATATATTCTATAATTGCCGTCTTTATAGACCTGTATCCATATATCTACAATTAGCAAAGTTTGAGGAAAAATTACAATTATGGCTTAGGCTTGGAATGTCTTGAGAGTCGTCGGTTTAATATCTTTTTTCAGATAGTTTTGCGCGGTGTTGTTGATATTTTACTGGGTTCAATTGCTGATGTGATGCATTTTGTGGTGGCATATGCAGGCGCTAATAAAAATGTTTTGAGACATCGAGGTGAAAACTTGGAGAATCAATATTAATGTCAATTTTAATACGTGTGAAGTGTTGTAATCCATTTTCTGAACCTGCTACAGTATGCAATATTTATGTTAGGAGGTTTTGATTGGGTCATGGTCGGACAATTGCCCGTCCAATATTAAATAATGCGTACACCATACCATACCAGAATAATATTAACATTTACATGTTTCTTATTTATGGGTTAATATTCAAAACTGATTGCCTAACAACAGACTATTCATATTTAATTTAATAACATCCAACCAATTATTAAATGCACATAAAGGTGCCGTTTGGAGTTTTGAATTTCTAAAGGGCTTCGTCCAATGCCGAACTGGATCAGATCAGATCAGCCTTTAAAATTTCTTCAATTTTTTGTATAAAATTAAAGTAATATGGAAAGACTGAGCACAGTCGAAAAGGCTCGAAAAATATTTCTTGAAACAAATGAAATTTTAATAAGTTCCTGCCATTTGGCCTAGCAAAAAATAAAATATAACACGATTTTTGGCGTACCATGCGTCAATATCGTCTAACTCTTGCCAAATAGTATTTGCATTTCTGTACAAATTTGTAGCTTGAATTGCAGTTGTGGTAGAACACCAAAATTTTTAATTGATCATTTTGTATTCTTGAATCGGCGGGCAAAAGCGTCTCCAATTAACTTGCAATCGCGCCGTTATCAACATTTTTAAATCGTTGTTACTCCATTGCCAAATATTTAAGCATGTTTATTGGGAAGATATCCCAGAGTCCAAAGTTCGATGTGCACATGTCTGAATATCAAATTTAGGCGGAGATAAGCGATTCTGCTTAAAAAGGAATGTAAACGATTTTTTGAAGAAGTGCGAATAATCGGTAGTCGTCGCCAAAGCCTCCATGGAAACTAAAAAGACGTAATGCGTGTTTTGCACCGGGAGCCCAATAATTTTTTTCTTTAAGAACCAAGATAAATACCACAATTCTAAATGTAAATCACAACAAATTACGGTACCATTATGAATTATTGGTATGTATTAGAAATTATTTTACCACAATTAGTAATGTTTTAGACTATTTCTCGGCATACTTCCTACATTGATGATTGCTATATGGCAACAAAGTCAAGTCTGAATCGATTTTATTTTAAATTTCGCTGTTACACTAACTTTTAAAATGCCAAAAGTTTTAAATCGCTTTATCGCTCTATTTTGGCTTAGAATTTTGGCAGATTAAAAATAGATCTATACGAGAAACAAGTAGCTCAAAATAAAATTAGGAATGTGAATTTAAGCCTGTTTTGTTTTGCCGTTTCCAGATGGGCCACCATCAATGCAGAAATGAAGATATTTAACAGCAACGTGTGCTCCATTTTTGATAAACATTTAGTGATATTTTCACTACCGACCGAGATATAGATCTATCAACTTTTATATTTATGAAAATTTATGATTCCGATAAAAACATTATTAGGGCACTTTTTTTGAGTCGAACGATGAAAAATTTTCCGTTTTCCCCAAAAATGAATACAACGTTCTTTTCAATTATTTATATTCGTTGCTGTCATTACTAGTGAAGGTGATATATAGTGTATTTGGTATAATGTTTCACCTTTGTTCTTTATTATATTTTGTCTTTTGTCACACGCAGGTTTAGTGGCCAGAAAACATAAAAAAAGTTGAAATTCAATATGCTAATTAACACCTAAAATTTTATTGTAATGTTGTAATAATCTGTGAAAGGAAATATTTAAAATATTAAAGATGCAATTAAAAATTATACATCAAATTGCCGTATTTTTAATTACAAAATATAAAAATACAAAATATACGTCAGGACTTTTGGCAGTTTCATTTCCATTTCCTCAAGAAAATATTATGCATCTATAAACTTTAATCTTCGTTTCAAGCACTAAGCTTTAGTTTATAGCTGATTGGACCAGCAAAGGGAACTGAAGTTGGTAAACAATCCATGAATCAACAACTGTTATTAGTGCATGGTATAATGGTAATTACCTTTCAATTCGGAGTCGTTTTCATCAGAAGAGGCGGGCTTGGAATCCATCTTTCCTGGTTGCTGGTTGATGACAATCGAAAAAGAACACTTACTGGATGAAGCGAAAATCTTATCACTATTTTCAGAATCGTAGCAACAGTTCATACACACGTTTGTACCACTATTATGTAACGGATATAAAAAATTTGGAAAAAATCGGGGGCAATCGAATTAACAACTAAAGAAAATACGACGATTTTTCGGAGAAATGGTCTGAGGATGTGTGTATTATGAATTTCTTTAAAATCAGTCTCATTCCAATTCTGTATCTTATTTCAGTCGCCAGATTTGCTCGCTTTCTCTGAAAATTTCTTTACGGAAAAATGTCTGTCACAAAGGCGGCAATTTGCATTACCGCTACAAGGAAATGGTAAAATACAACTGTCTGTTGAACAGATGTATGAAATTTTACGAAAAGTATTGACAAGAGATGTAAAACTCCAATGAAAGGGTTAATTATTGCGACAATTAATCTGCCCAACACTTTCCACTCTAACACCGTCAAATAACCGACTGACGCGGAGACGATCGAAGTTTGTTTTGGTTCGGAGCCATATGGAAGGAGGTGGGGATAAGTGAACTAATTTCGAAAGTTCAAAGTACGATCGAAGAATAATCTCCGCAGGGGTCTGTAAAAGAGGCCGCTGGTTATTTTTTATTTTCGAAAGAGCTCTATGAATAAGCAAATAAAATATGTATTGCGATTGCAAATCTTTAGCATGAATTGGATGTTTTGTTGAGTCTTTCGTTCAGCACTTCTAAATCAATTTAATTAAAATTTAAATTTGTGTAACTTTGATGGTTTTTATTATAGATTCAAAATATGAACTAGCTATAATTATTATGGTTTGTTTCTGGTTTTTCATTCTGATGTTGGCTATATGATTCTGGCAAATTAGGCTATCAGATTCAAACTTCTGTCATCTGGACTTAACCACAAATATTAACAAGTTTACTCTGCTTAATGTTTACGTTCTACAGTACAGCTGTCAGGATTTAAGAATATCTTTCAAAATTTTGCATGTTAAAAGTAGTAAATAGTAATCGCGAACTGTAATGAAAATGTCATGTTCTCCCGCCGAGATAGAAAGGAAAAAACAAGAGGCTATCCAAAGATTGGCACAGAAACGAAACAGTCCAGTTAAAGTTCAGCAATCACCATTTAAATTTAGCTTTAAAAGTAGCCCCCAACCGGCAAATAAAGCAGTCCCTCATAGTGTGAAACCCTACACGAAGGTTTCTGATGCAAAAAATAATACTATCGCTTTTTATGGCAAAGACAAATTGCTTACTATCACAATAAATTTGATTTCACCTGAGAGATTTAATGTTACATTTTCGACGTTTTCTACTTTGATTATTGATATTTTTAAAACAATTCCTTCTAGATATTATGGTAAAAATGATTAGATTCTACTTTGAAGCCTGTATATGATAGTGATTCCATGTTTTAGATCCAAATACTCGGGTGTGGAATTTTCATGTCAATGATTATGATTTGTTATTGTCCAAATTACGTCAGCTTCAGTCACATGAAACAATTACTATTAAAGCATTACCTCAATTTGTTGTAAAATGCATAAAGTCACTTATTAAAGACTGTGATATTGATAAAAATAAAATAGACCCTGTATTATATAGAACTTTGTTACCCTTTCAGATGGAAGGTTTAAAGTAATGCACAGAATTTTAAAAATTAAAAATTTTACTTTCCTAACAAATTCTTTTATTTTAGATTTGGTATTGAAAGATCTGGTAGATGTATGATTGCAGATGATATGGGCCTTGGCAAAACATTTCAAGCTTTGGCAATCATGAACTATTATCAGCAAGATTGGCCTTTATTGATTGTTACAACAGCTTCAATGAAGTAAGTAAATTGAATGTTTATAGATTATTCCACAAATATGGTTTTATAGAAATGTATGGGAGGACACAATTTTTAAATATCTGCCCTCTGTGTCTATAATGCATATTCAATATATGTCATCCAGCAAGGACTACATTGGAGAGTCTAAGATTCTCATACTTAGTCACGATTTAATGCAAAGATGTTGTGATAAGCTTTTAGACAGGGGATTTGGCTGCATAATTATAGACGAATCTCATAATTTAAAGAGTTTTAAAGCAAAATCCTCTCAGGCGGCTACCAAATTGGCAAAAAAAGCTAAACGCGTTGTCTTGTTAAGTGGAACTCCTGCATTATCGAGGCCATGTGAACTGTATCAACAGCTAGTCCTGATAGATGATAAATTTTTTGGAATGTTTAATGATTATGCACTGAGGTATTGTGATAGAAAAAAAACGCCGTGGGGATGGGATGATCTGGGTATGTATCCAAAAATTTTTTCTGAAACAGTTTATATCATTTGACATTATAACTTTAAGGTAAGTCAAACCTTCAGGAACTAGAAATAATTCTGCTTAAAAAGTTCATGATTAGAAGAACAAAAGAAGATGTACTAAAAATGCTTCCCAATAAAACACAGGAAGTTGTAAAGCTAGACCTGCATTTAGAAAAATTCAGTGAGCAGGATAAAAGGTGCTTAGAGGCACTTGCCACAAAATACAAAAAAGAAAAGGGTCATGAAAAACATGCCGCCTTATTAACATTTTTTGCCGAGACTGCCAAAATGAAGATACCATCAGTGTGGTTAGTTAGATTTTTAAAAATAATGCTAATACTGAAAAATGTTTGACTGTATTTTTTCAGTTCCTATATATTGCAAATACTGGAAAGGGCGCAAAAGTTCTTGGTGTTTGCCCATCACCATGTGATGTTAAATGCCATAGAAGATTTAATAAAAAGGAAAAATGTTAACTACATAAGAATAGATGGTAACACAACAAGCGATCAAAGGAAGTTCTTTGTGGATAAGTTTCAGCAAGACCCCACCTATGTTTGTGCCATTTTATCTATAATGGCCGCAAATGCGGGCATCACCTTAACGGCAGCTCAGTTGGTAGTATTTGCAGAACTACATTGGAATCCCACTGTAAGTATCAATCAGTTAAAACCTACAAACTATATACCGTTTTTACAACATAATCTGGTATATAACTTTATAAAAAGTACACTAATATGTATATAGTTTGGAGAACTCTACCTACAAATGGTCTGAATTTTATTCCCTGAAATAACTAGTGTGACTATATATATGCCTATGAATCATCACCAATATTAAAACAATCCGTTTGATGCCTGTTATGTTTCAACAGATGGTCAGAATGTGAGTGCTAAAGGAAACTTGCAGCAGCCAATAATAATATGAACTTACTTAACATTTCCCTATGGTAGTAATAATCTCTTATTCTTTATTTTTTTAAAATGTTGTCATAGCATTTTTGGCATTAAAAAATTTCAGTTTCAATCATACGAAACACTTAATTTGCGAAAAATGAACCAGTTTGCAACTTCTGACTGGGGACTTCCATCAAAGTTATTTTGTTTACTTTCTATTTCATTTTTGTTTTGTGTAGTGTTGAGTGGTTTTCAGTTAGATTTTTATAACTATTTTATGGAAGCCCTCAAGTCCATATTTGTAAGTGACCAACATGTTTTACTTTTAATTCTTTGATTTTAATAAAAGCAGGGTTTCTCTATATCTAGTAGTTATATGGTTCCAACAACTCTGATTAGATTTGATAAGGCACTAAATTGTCAATTGTTCAGTCATCTTAGTGGGAACAAATTCATCTTATAGGTTATAGGTGCCCTAATTTTCCTCTCTCGTTTTCTATTTCAGATTTTAAGCCAGGCTGAAGCTAGAGCGCATCGAATTGGTCAAGAAAATACTGTTTTAGTACAATATCTGTTGGCAGATGGCACTGCCGACGATTCAATTTGGCCGCTATTAAAAGAAAAAGAAGAAAGTTTGAGTGAATTTGGTCTGTGCAAAAAATCGCTTGATAATGCATCAGTGAGGAAACAAGATACCTGCAAAGCGGATGTAATAACGGATGGGCTAAATATAAGTGTCATTGAACCTATAACCGTGGCCAATACTTTAAATATATCATCTTATTTCACATCCCCAAAGAAGAAAACTAGCAGTGCTAGTGATTTGGATGAGGCCTTAAATGATGGACTTGATGATGTGCTTGGCGAAATTGATTTTTAATTTCTTAACTTTTGTGTTTTTTTTGCAGTTTTCATCAAACACATTTTACACCTTTTCGAAATTAAGGGATTAAACATTTTTATTACTACTTGGTATTTTTTAGATTCCTTGAAGTCCTAATTTTGTTTATTAAAACTGACCAAAACTATGAAATTTTTGTGATATTTGATATATTTCATTTTTAAATAGAGCTAAGCTGATTGACTTTCATTCTTACGGACAAATTTTTTGAACTGGGACGGTTCCGTACGACTTCTATGGGCATTCGCCCAACCAGTTTATCTATTCTGTGGTTGACAAGAATCGGTTCTGTGTTCAGTGTCACGGTCTCTGGACAAACAGTAATAAAAATCCAATAATTTTCTTTGATGAAAAAAGCCCATTTAACATTAAGAACATAATGTTTTGCACGTCTAAAGTGATCCTGGAAAGAATATCTAAATTACCAATACGCAAAAAATTAGTTTAAATTTTCTATTTGGGAACTTACTGAAAATTAACATGGATTTAACTATCAAGGAAGAGCCCGAAGATGAAGATTCACTTATTGATTCCCGAAATAACCATTTCAATTATAATAATTGCGAAATTGATACGCCAGAAATCTCTCCGGAATGCGTTATTTGTAACTCAAAATTTGTCAGCGATCAGGAACTAAAAATTCACCAAATGATACATTCCACCAATCATAAATGTTTCGTTTGTGGTGAATTTGTGAAAAATCGATTTCAGTTTGTGGGCCATGTGAGGAAGCACATGGTTGCTAAGCCTTTTTTATGTCCAGAACAAACCTGCAATAAAGCTTTTGCTAGCCTGCGGGAAACAAAATTGCATTGTCGTGTACATTCAGATGAGAGACCTTATATGTGTACCGAATGTGGAAAGGCTTTTAAGCAAGTTCATACTCTTAGAGAACATGAAGTTGTACATACAGGAATAAAAAGGTTTAAATGTAAGGTAAACGTTGATGGACCTAAACTCCTGATGCAGTTTTTTATTTCATATATTTTAAGATATGTAATGGTACTTTTGGAACAGGCGCTAGTCACCGACGACATGTAAGAGTTATGCATGAGACGGTCCGGTCATTTCAGTGCAATTATTGCTATTCTGCTTTTACTAGTCGACAGGCTTTACAACAACACAAGACCATTCATAGGGATGAAGATAGCACAAAATGTCCCTTTTGCAATGAAACATTTACTGACCATGAAAAGTTTGAGGAACATAAGAAGAAACATGTTGATATGAAAGAGACAGGTATAAAAAAATATGTTGTCTGAATTTTACAATTTCTATAGCTAAAACTTTTAATTTAATTGTTCTTTTGAGATAAATGGACTATTTTAGGTACTTGTGAATATTGCCTCAACAAAACGTTTTATATAAATTTGAAGGAGCATGTGGAAAAAATGCACAAGCCCAGAACCTGCAATTTATGCAGTTTGGTTTTCTTTGATGATAAATCACTAAACAACCATCAGAAAAGTCACATGGAAATTCAAAATAAAAATGAATTGGTGTGTAATCTTTGTGGAAAACAATTTGACTTCATTAGATACCTAAAGGCTCATGTCAAAAGGCACCAGGATGATTACAAAAAGTTTAAATGTCAATTGTGTGATAAAGCCTTTTCTTCAAAAAGAGATTTAACTGATCATACCATGGTTCATTCAGATGTGAAAAATTACAAGTGCAGCATATGTAATAAGGCATTTAGAACCAAGCAAAGTGTTAATAAGCACATGCCTATACATTCAGATAAACGCCCGTTTGAATGCAGACTGTGTCAGAAAACTTTTAAGAAGCAGTCAATCCTAAGAAAGCACATGATTACCCACTCAAATATTAGACCCTTTCAGTGTCAGCTATGTAGTAAAACTTTTAAAACGCGGGACTCATTGGGAATTCATAAGAAATATTCCCACACTAAATGGAAACTCCAGTGCAAAACATGCCATAGAAGGTTCCAGTACAAAACTTCCTTAAAAACCCATGACTGCAAGGGGGTTAAAACTCGATACCATCAGAGATTTTGTAGGCATTGTAAAAGACGCCTAAAACGGGTTTCCACTGTGGCCTGTCATAAGCTGGGTCATTTCAGTAGAAAATTGTTTTATTGTGATATTTGTAAGTCTGAATTTAAGTTTAAGTACAGTTTAATAATTCATCGCATGAAACATCGGGCTCAGGTACCCTCTGAAATTTTAAACTTTGATGTAAAAGATCAGTCTATTCAGACAGATCCTATAGATTTTGGAGAATTGGTAGATTGCGATGTAGAGATCTCCACCGCAGTCCCATAGTTGTTCAGTTTTTAATAGTAATTATTATGCCAGGATTCTTTGAATATATGTTTTCCTCTACAAGGATCTATTTTAAAATGTGTTCAGGGTATTTAGAATGAATTGAATTTTTTTAAGTTTGTGTTATTAACATGGTTCCTACTTAGGTGTGTAGTATTTATAGTAGCTTTCCCTAATCTATTTATTACCCTCTGGATTGATATTACCTTTGTCTAACAATGTCTAGAAATTTTCCTAAAATTAATGTCTTTTGTTACTTTGGTCTAAATTTATGCAGATTTCATTGCTTGTTTGATTAGGTGTTATGTACTACGTAAAAGTAATAAAACATGTTTAGGTGTATTGTTTCCCCTTCCTTTAACTTATTTCAATTATCAAGGACTCTACAGCTTTTACATATTTAATTTTTTCTTTAATAAGTTGACGCAAAGCTCTCCACTTCATAACTTAAGCAATGTTTGAAGATAAATAAGGCAAAAATAGAGTGATACAGGGTGAGCTATTCAGTCAGATATGATGCTTCGGACTAATGCATATTTCTTAAATTCGGCAGCACTATTCTGTTTTTTTTAGGTACAGAGGTCTTTATAAATAATAAAAGTTACTAGGAAATTCACAAATTTTATTTACACAACTATACAAAACAATTACTAGGTGTGTATAAATAATTATATACATTATACACTGCTAAAAAGAATGACAAAAAAAAAACAACCGTATATACAACAATATTGCAACAATTACTTAAATTAATTTACTTACCAATATTAAAATGTTTATACTATAGTGGAAGGATTGATTCCCTTGCCTTAATTATAATTCACTCTTTACACTCTAAAATAAATAAATAAAAAGAGTGCCCAACAATAATAGACTAATTTGAAAAATTACTACGACTAGTAACAAAAATCTTAAATCAAAGCAGAAATTATTAAATTAATTATCACATAAAGGATAATTTCAAATTCAAATTATTTCCTTTTCTTAATAAATACCAATTTTGATTTCTGTTGTAATATTAATGATATAAAATGGTTTGGTTACTTTGAAAGCTCATAAGGTTGATTATTGTTTCGTAAAAGGAAACATAAATCTACTAATCTATTAATAAATAGTTGAACTAGAGTGCTAAATAGTAAAACAAAACATTAATTGAATGAAATTGAATCGCTTAACATTTCTTCACTTTTTGCGGCATGAACTGCAAAACAAAAATTATTTTTGGCCTAGAATCAATCTAGGTTGCTATTGAACATAATCTATATTAACAGGTACAAAAAACCTATCATAGATGTATAAGCAAAATCAAAAAGCAGCAAAAATATTTGGCGACCATTTTATAGAACATCCAGAAAAATGCTAAATATTAAATGAAAATACAAAATCATTTTTACATTGGAGACCTTAAGGTAGGAAATTATTATAAATAAATAAATTCTTTCTTATAGGCACTTCCTTTTTCATATTCTACATAGATGAAAGAGTTTAGCAGTTTCTCAAAACCGATCCTGTTTACTTTCAGATTAAGACAGAATAAATAAAGTTGTGAGAAGAAGTTATCTGGTCAATGTGAGCTGGATTTTTAGCGAATTCAACTTTTTCGTTGCAATTGACAGATTTTTAATAGATATAAAATGTACAACCTCAACTTGTACATTGCGAATTCGTTGCACTTAAATAGAAACTTGGGCGACCCTCTACAGTCTTCGTTCAAAATCAATTCCTTGTAACATTTTTAAAAAATGTTTGCAAATTACAAAGCTCCGGGATAATACACACACCAATACCAAAGATCGTTTTAGTTTTTGGCGAATTGAGCTTTTCTCTTTCGACTAGCCAGCATATCGTAAAACGGATTATGACTTATGCTTTGGGTGAGCCGTTGGATCCACTCCTTTCGTTCTTCGTCGCTACTGGCCGACATGCGGTAAACGGTGTGTTTGCCTTCTACTACTTTGCCTTCTGAATCAGTCTTACATGCCTGAAATTAATTAGATTTTTTTAAAATGCCAAATATGTATAGCAATATGTTATAAATTATTATTTATTTGATACAGGCTGTCCGACTTGAAAATGATTAAGAATAACATTTTTAATGAAACACCTTGTACATTATAAAAAAAAGATTCGCGGTTTCTTGTGGTATAGGGACGCATTGTTTTTCCATCGTGCTCCTGTGGACCAGTATGAAACTTTCGCAAAATAGATGTAATTTTATTGTGCATACACCCTGTATAAAGTGTCTTTCAAGTATCGGCGAATTTCAAAGTTGTGGCAAACTTTGTTAAATATAAAAATTTTTACGTTTGTCGAATATTTTTTCGAATATCTCGGGCGCCCTGTATAATTAACGAAACCTGAAACTCTCTCTCGACACAGTTTACGATACTGTTCAAATCAATTTAACGGATCTTTAGCAGTTTTTCATTTATCCCTAACAATTTACCCACAAAACGGAAATTTTTAGGATGTTTTAGATATTTTTGCCCATAAAGGACACACCCTGTATATAATTCAAACAATGTTTCGAAATATAGCCCTAGATCTCCCACGTTTCCTGGAATATGATATTTTCCAATGGAGTAAGTGGTTTTCAAGAAAATACTTGTTTTCTGAAACCGTGCTAATAGTATATAACCTCATCGCGTCTAGATTGAAGGCGAGAAAAGGTGACTTTAATTTGGATTTTTTCAAATATCTCGAAAATTGTAGCTCTTGATGTGGTCTACAACACTGTTTAAACCAATTGACCATATTTTTTACGAATTTTGATTTACGGCTAATAATTTAATAGGGAAAAGAACGATTTTCAGGGTCTTTTCGATTTTTGCCTATAATTGAAAAACCCTGTATATAATGGAAAAAATGCCTGAAATAAAGGTTATGGTCCCGGATCTGCCGCATTTCCTGGTTCACAAATTTTGCCGATCGGGTTAATAGTTTTCGAGAAAATAATTTATTCCTGGAAGTCAAAAGATACCAAAAAAAATTTTCACAAATACTTTGCGAGATTGGACTTCTACCTTTCTTCCAAATCTGAAGTCGATAGCTGCAAATTTAAGACACCTGTCAATTTTTGAATATAGCACTTAATATCTGGAACACCCTGTACAACAGGTGAAAACCTTAAATACAAAAGTTTTAGCTTCGTGTTTAAGTTATAGCCAACCTTCAATAATAAGGGGACCCATTTTTCAGTTTTTTTTTTGAATTTGCGACGCACCGTGTACATTTTTGAAAAACTTTCAGAAATGAAATTTTATTCTATACATTTAAGAATTTTTTCGGTCACGTAAACCGTTTTCGAAAAATGATTTTTTTCTTGGACCCTTGCAAACGCGATTTTTAAATTTTTTAAAATACTTCCCGACCCCCCAACCAATTTCAATAGGTTCCATTAGTGGACCAAGCGCTACCCGTCTGCCAAATTTGAAGTCGATTGCTTCAAATTTCGGAAACTTATCGTGTTTCATAGCAACGTCCAAAAAATTGTCGAAAATCGAAAAAAAAAAGATGGTCGCCAAAGCTCGAATGCAGCCATTTTTATATATCTTATGCACCCTGTGGGCGGTTAAAAATGAGCAAAATTTGAAGCGTGGAACAGAGAACGGAGAGACAAAAAAAATCTTTTTTTCGACGCTGATCATTTCTGTACCAATGGGGGTCCCGTAGGAAGTACCGTTACCGGGATCTCGAGTTAAGTTAGGAGCGCGTATACTTTCGAAAATAATCCACTTCATCGATTTTTCGAAAGTAACAAGACTCGTGAAAATAATGATATTGAGTCAAATATTTCAGACAATATCGCTCACTAGTGAAATACAGGGTGTTTAGTTCACAAAATTGTTATTTCTTTATTTCTCCAGCAGTTTTTATTTTTTTTTTGTAAATTTTAATATCGACGTGAAAACTTGGATTGGGTTTTTTTTGAGACTGCGAATAGCTTCTGTTCTTTTCATACTCTGTAGGGGGCGCTAGTTATTACGCCCTAGGGTATTTCATGTCATAATTTTCTTGTTATTACGATAATTTTAAAATAGATGATGATGAGACTTTTATCTTGAATTTGTTTTGGGCATATACGAGGTGCCCTTTAAACTTATCTTGGATTCCATTTTAAAATAACGTTAAAATACCTTTTCCTTCATTCAATTCATTTCTAATCCATATCCTACACTTTCTGAACTGTTTTTGAGCCAGCGATTTCATTTGAAATAAAATATTACAATGCAATTATCTGGAAAAACGAAATAAACACACATTACCTTTTTTTATTAGAAGGTATCACTAGTAATCATCATCCCCATCTTCAAAAACATTTTACAAAATCATATATGGCTAAATATCTTTCTTTTTTCAGGAGTTTAATCAACGATACTTTATGGCGTATCATTATGGAACACGAACCCCATAATAAAATATGGTAAACTGTCATGTATGTATCTAACATAACAAAAAAAAAGAATACTTTTTACATTAGTTACAATTAAAAAAAATGGTAATAAAATACGAGGATTTTTTTTGCGTTTAAGACTTGATAAACTTACTATTTTTATTTTAAACTCTTTCCTTCTTGTTTGTTTAGATGTTTAGGAATTTAAAACAAAATAGTTCGTATATCTTGATTTTTTTTTGCTATTGAAATTCCGGAATTTGCAGGTTTCTTTTTTATCGAATAGGTTACGCATATCTATGGTTGATTTGTCTATAAATTAAACAACGTAGAGATTGTCTCCAAAATCTTACCTTAATAAAATCCGCCCCTCCGCTGGCATACAGTTCGAAACAGTACTGCTTTTGACGGTCCTGGCACTCTCGTATCGATATGTTTTCAAGCGGAATGATCCCCCTCGGTTCTTTATCAGTCGTATACTCGAAATAATACAAGCAGTTGTCGTTTAGTATGAACCATCTCCGTTTCCAACTCTTGTATCTGCCTCCCTGCTTCCACAACCAGCCCTCTTTGTCGGGGTTGAAGAAAGTGTGCATCAAGTCGTTACCGTCGTCCTCCGGTATTTTAAACGGTTCTGCCTTGATGCTTTCGTATAAACTCTGCGAAATTAACAATAACATTTTTTTTTTTGATAATACTTCCGCAGCGCTATACGCGACGAAAAAAAATTTTTTTTTGAACGATCATTTTTGGTCCAAACAAGAAAAGTCTAATGTAATGGCGAAACAAATTTTGGTAGCCGTCTATCAAAATTGATTTTTTTTCCATGTCATTGTCTAAATTTTTCTATAAATTTATTTAATTTTCTTTTATTTCAGGGTGATTTGAATTTTTTAGACACCCTGTGTAGTTCGGTAGTGCGTTAAATGTCATTGTCTAAATTTTTATATAAATTTATTTCATTTTGTTTTATTTCAGGGTGATTTGAATTTTTTAGACACCCTGTGTAGTTCGGTAGTGCGTTAACTTATCAAAACCGAATTTCAGAAATGTTGCTATATAAACTAACTTTTGTTTTGATTTAATCGAACGCCTTGCATGCCTTAATCATTTTATTGGGATTATTTTTAGCTTTTCGAAAATATATAACTCATAAGAGCTATTCGAAATACAAAGCATGTATCTTTAGTTTTATTTTTTTTAGTTACCTGTTAAAATAAACTTGTATGTGTGCTATACTAAATGTGCTATTGTGTCCAATTGAGTATAATTGTCATATTTTAGCAGCTAAGTATTACGTTAGGAAAATGGACACCGGAAAAACAAAATTAAAACTAAAGATTTCTAATTATTTAAAAGTTAGTTCCTAAAAGTTGTTCATAGTGTATCTATTAATTTTGTTTAAATTAGTGTATATAAATTTATAAGAAAAAAGTATGATTTCAACATTTGAAATATGTTTTGCTAAAGGTAGACAAGGACTGTTCTGGTCGAAGTTCCATTGTCTAAAAACGTTACATTACAAAAAACGTTTTTTAGACAACGGAAATTCGAAACGCCAGTATTGATCACATTTAAAATATGTCTCCAACATCTTGATATTCAATTTTTGTATTATTGCATAGCTAAACACTACGGGTTTTAACATACGGATATGATTTGTCACTATTTGTGAAGGAAAATATTTATTTTGAAAATTCGCCTATTATGCCGAATTTGGAGAAAATTAATAAGAATAATCAACAATGATTAACCCCAAACAAACCTCAGGTTTACAAACGAAAAACGATTAACACAATTCCTGATAAACCAGCATTAGGTTCATTTCGATAGTTCTCCAGAACCTTTAATGTTTATTTTAATATTACTAATACTTTATATTCAAAATGACAAAAAATGTAAATTGAAAATTTACCAGCGCTTAAGAAACGTAAATACAGAAACCAAAAGTCTGTATTCAGATTTAAGAAAAAAAGCATATTTTGAAAATCGTGAGATAATCATTACAACGACTTCATAAAGATTGGGTTTTTTATAAAAAAACTGAAACCGTATTGTACGAAACGAACAACCCGTAGCGGAAACAACCGATTACGTTTATAATCCAAACTTACAACTAATAATTCCCTGGGTAAATCCTGTCCCTGATTGATGCCGCGGTTCATATTAATGAACTGATCTATGGTCGGTTTCTCCTTCACGCTGGGATTGTGCAAACTGGTATTCAGCATTATGATTGCGAACGACAGCACGTAACACGTATCCGAGTTCGTAAAAATATTGCTGTCCCCTTGACAGTCGCAGTACCTCTTTGCGAAGCACTCCATCATACGGTCTATCTTCTGCGCTTCGCCCGGCAACCGAAAACTCCAGAGAAATTGCCTTAAAGATAAACAAAAACATTTGAACGCCTACCATATACCAAGCAGATAGACAGATGCCTTTTCTAGGCTGATAATACAGACACTTTTGAAGACAAAATACGCGACTCATTTCAAAACTTGCTTTCAAGCAATAAGACTCGTTCATTCAAAATAATCTCAAAAATGCAGTATTTACGGGCCCCAAACAACACGCTACACGGGATGCCTATGTAATGCTCTGACTGCTAACTAAAACTTTAATCATGGCTATTACGTCATTTCACTGACAATTGACGAAATTCCGGTTTTCAATTGTTTTTTTTTTCGAAAACGAGTACCAATTAGAACAATAAAAAACCTAAAAATACTAAAGGACGTAGTATCAATTTCAAATTACATTATTTGTAATAAACAAACCAAATACGTGAATTTCGAAAAATCTTATTTTGAACCCTATAGTAATTTTATTCTGTGTTTTATAAATAAATGTTTTATAATAAATAAGTTTTTGTTTTATAATAAATAAGCGAGCAATTTTTGGGTCCTAAATGTTTGAACTTTTGAGATACAAGGTGGTAAAATTTTCAAAAAGAAAATATATTTTTTTAATATCTGTAAGCTGTAATGATATTTTAATGAAATTTGGCACACACATACTCTGTATCAAGAAGCATTATTTAGTGCACCACATTTTTTAAAAATACACCAGTGGCGGGCGCAAGGCATTTCACCTGCCTATTTTGGCAGACATCGACATCGACATTTGTAAAGAAATTTAATTTCTTGAATTTTTTTTAATCAGATGTACGGTTTTCGCTTAAAAAATAAAAACCTCTTCTCTGCATGGTCATAACAATTTTGTTAATATGATGTTAATATGACAGTTTGCAAAGAAATTAGTTTCTATTTTTGAGTGAAAACCATGCGACGGGCTAAAAAAAAAAATAAGAGATCAAATCTGCTCTTAAACGAATGCAAATGTCATTATTTTAAAATAATATTTATTGTGGTGAATTAGGTCGCCACTGCACTGGTTAAATCGAGAACTTTTTTGTGAAAAATAAAATATCTATCTAAAACAAAATATCTAGTTTTTAGTTACCAACTAGCGTCCTTCAGAAAAAAATATATTAGAAGGCTGTTCCTTTTTATTTTTACAGTCTTAATTAAATAACATAACATCCTAACAGCAAGATAAATAATAAACGATTCTTATTTAAATTTATTTTATTTATTTAAGTTTACGTACTTCGTTGTCGTAGTTCGAAGAATTTAAATAAAACAAATAGACAATTACTTAAGTAAGCAATAATAATATAATAATAACAATAATAATATTAATAAATAATGCCTCTTGTAGTACATGTGTGCCAAATTTCATTAAAATATGAAGGTAAAATGTATCACAAATATTAAAAAAATACAATTTATTTTTGAAAACTTTACCATCCTGTATCTAAAAGTTATATGTTCATATGAAGTTTTTTTTTTTGAAATGGACCCAAAAATCGCGTCCTTAAACATTGACATTCCATTAGAAAACACCCTGTATATTAAAAGTGTTATTCGAAGAAATTCCTAAGATCAAATTCTACTAAAAAAGTGGGCGGTATGTGTGCGTGCTGCACATTAATTCCAGTTAAACTTATTACCTTAATGCTTGGACTAGTATTAGATCGGTGAAATCGTGCAGATCGACGAACGCTTGGAGAACCTTTTCGTTGAAATCGTTTCTTTCGCCCAGATAATCACCGATCGCCGTTTTGTTTAGCCCTTCGCCTTTGTGGAGGAACTGCGCGACACTTTCCGCCGTGTTCTATAAGAACCGATAAATGTTAACCGTAATATACTAAAAAGCCGCTAATCCGAGCCTTGCCTGCAGCAGTCCTTTCTCAATTAGGTACTCTATGCCCTTCTTGGGGTCCATGTTAAACTTTTTTCGTCCGATTGACATCATTTTGGTCTTGTTGCTGTTCTTGCCCTCCTCTCCTGAGTCGAGAGATTCCATCTCTGCGACCACCTCACACAGTTCATCTTTCAGTTGCTGTAACAAGAAAAATATCCGTTGAAACCAGCTCGGCCAGGCCATGGAGCCCAAGTCAGTTTAATCGACGATCGTTTTGAATATTTCATTCTGGTAGACGCACGAATGGTTATCGGACACTTAATAATTTTCGGGGATCTGGCAAAATTTAAATCCCAAAAAATTAGATATTAAAACTAAATTGCTGGACACTTGAAACCGGCACATATGCGGACTGTTTCCGACAGTCAAAGGGTTATTTGGAACCAAATTTTTTGGAATTTCGAAACTTACTCTTTCAGCCATCCGTGCGTTGTGGCAAAGGTATATTTCTGAAGTCTATAAGGAGGGTGTTTTAAAAATGGAGATAAAAGTTTCTATAAACTAGGGTCAACATTTTTATTTTTGAAAATGAAGGCCGGATGAAGACATGACTGGTACAATTACTTAAAAAAATTTTTTACGAAAAGAAGGTGGATCTAGACTATAAGATGTTTTATACGTTCATGTCTAATTTCCGTACACCCTGTATATTTTTCTATAGTTTTACACATTATACATATAAACACATAGAGTTTGGCAATTCTGGTAAAATACAAAAAAAAATATTATGTTAAAAAATAGACAAATTGAAAAACCGTCTTCAAGTCGGACCTGTTCGGAAGATAAGTCACGGGTTTAGGAGCAATCGGATGTTTTCGATAGATTTTTAGCGTGGTATTTTGACGTTGATAGTAGAAAAAATATGGTATGCAATGTTAATAAACTTCTTTGGTTTTGCACACTATTTTATTTTTGAAAATCGATCGATCTCTATAAATTATCCCGTTTGTGTCCAGCAGCTTAGTGTTAGTGTGTTAACCAACCATAAAGACACTTATTACCGCCAGAAAGTCACTGACTGAGCCTTTTGCTTTGTATAATAAAAACAGCGTGCGATAAAATTACAAAGTATGCAATAAAACAGAAAGCAATGACAACAATGTTCGAAGTGTGATTGTTAGCCAAACAAGTTATGAAATCGTAGGTAGAAAAGTAAAAAAAAAAAGATGCTCTCGATGATGTAACAACAACGCATAAATGTTTACTATATTTTCGCAGTGTTCTATTAGTTTCTATTCTACGCGTTATGGCAGCGGATTAATCGAATGTCAAAATTTTGCCAGCTCTGAATAAGCCGATAAGCATCGAAATTGGACAAACAAAAACACGACCAATATTTTTCCACTTTACTGGCCCGAACTGGGCAAAATTTGAACTATTTCGTGCAAAAGTTCCCTCAATTATGAATCCAATTTTATTTAGTTATAGTTTGGTGATCCGTTTCAATGTATATTTTAAGGCACTTTATATTTGGAATTCATGAATACCATCAAAGGTGAAAAATCGTTTTTATACACAATAGTTAACAAAAGTGATTAAAATTCACCTCAAAATAATGAGCAGGCTAGACGCAAGTGAGAAAAAGAAAAACATTTCCGCAAAAGTGACGAAAAATATGCGGTTGTCTCCGCAAATGGAAAGTAAAATACTTTCCTGATGCCAGATAACATAAAAAAAACAATTTAGTTAAAAAAACTATGTTTCAAGGGACAATAATTTGAAGAAACTGATAAGTTTTAGTCACTTTGGCGGAAATAGAACAATTTTCTTCTCACAGTTATGCATGCGAAAATAAGTCCAGAGAAAAATTGTTCATAATTGATTGCTATCCGCATACACATAATTTATGTATATTCATATCCAGAATTTTTTTTTATGGATTGTTATATATCGAACATAGCAGGGCAGAAAAAGGACAAATTCTTTAAACTTTTAAGTTAAAAATGTTTTCATTCAATGATTGCCTTGTAAACTCATACATATGACGCACGCCTATAGAAAATTTTAAAAAAAGGTAAATTGCTGGATTAAACCTGGCGTAAAAATCGGTCCAGAAACAAGGATTTTACGGATATCTTAAATATTATATTTTTATTTTATATAACACGTATTACAAATAATTTTGAATTGTTCATTATTAACTATTAAATATTTTCCACTTTATTCGACTTTTGTACCATTTCGATAGATAAATATAAATTTTATGAATAATTTTCAGATTTTCTTAAAACAGATGTCCAGTGGCTTGAATTTATGGGGTAATTTCATCCCATAATGCGTTGTTTACCCTGGGCAACGGCCGGTTCGTGATATCGTAAAGCACGTCTACGCGCAGTGGCGTGCGTGGCGATTTCTTCCCTTAAGTTCTTGCAGAAAAGATCGTGTTTTGGTGAGTCACTTGTCAGCAAAAGTGAGTTAAACACATATTTTACGCACATATAATTATTAACGCCAATTTGGCAAAACAAACCTTTAAATGAAAAGCTGCGGAGCTGCGTAAGCCCAGAAATCAGAAAAAAAAGACGCAACTAACGAAGCTCACTAAATAGAGCGCAAAACAACCGGCGAGAAAAAAAATGTAGCGTCCAACGACCAAGCCACTAAAACACAAAAATAAAAAAAAACGCAATCTTACCCCCTCGCCGGTGGAACACGGACAACAGGAATACATCAAAGTGTGCACAAAAAACGAAGCACAAACACGTGCGCAGGAGCACATCGACGACCGGCACTAAAGCGGACCAAAGACGGAAGGGGGACAGATAAAAACAAACGATTACAAACGGGAAAAGTAAAGGAGAAACTTCACGAAAAAATTAAAAAGTAATAGAAACTTGATTTGGGAAATATCGTCCCGAACCTCCGCGGTTGATATCTACCCGGTCACTGCATTCCCGGACGTCGAGTTAAATAACAACTCGAATCGATTTTGGGATGTTTTTCGACAAAAAAAGACGTGTGTGTTCATAAACGTGGAGAGAAGTTAGCTAACAGACTTGCGATATAAAGAAAGACGTCACCTTTGGCGCCCCGCGTTACAACTTCATCGTGCGTAAGCTTTTTTTGCGTTTGTTTGTCCGATAACATGAAATTGGTTTTATAAGGGATCCGCCTAATGTGCCACAGATGCAATATTAAAAGCTCCGAAAAGTTCTATCGGGTCAATAATAATATTAATAATAATAAATATTAACAACAATCCTGAAATATCTATAAAGACTTTTTGGCACGGAGCTATATAAAGTTTTGACCAACGAAGCTGGGCATATTCTAGTTACTTTATTGCTACTATCTAACTACATAATCAAAATCGATCTTTGCCGCTCAAAAAGATAATCGGACATATCACCCGGTCTGTCGCAAGTATAAAGAAAGACAATATTATTCGGCGAAGTAAAAGGAAGAGATATCGAAGGGTCGAAAGGTTAGATAAAGACGCAACGCTCGTACTTGGTTGCAAGTAATTAAGTTAAAACCAGTGTTTGTATTTTATAACCTTCACTTTGCGTATTGACTGGAAACCGTGAATGAATTAAAAGTTTACGTGGTGAAGAAGTATACTTATAAGTAATTTCTGCCGGTAAAAGTATTGAACTGGTCTTGTTGCTTCATAGAGCTAGTTAATGGGGAGCAAAGAAATTTTCAATTTTCGCATTATACAACTTTACCAAAAACACACAACTGCAAAATAAAAAACAGGATAATTGAAAATATATACACGTATACACGTAAACGATTTTTTATGCGAGCCATTTTGAAAGTGTCTGATAATCCGAGTTTTTTAAAGGCAGCAAGGCTTTGTTTTACAAAGCATGTGGAATATATTTACCAATATTGTCCGTATTGAACAATAACCAGGGCCGAAGGTAATGAATTTGCATTTTCAATGAGTTCGTGGTGACACTATATCAGGAATCAGCTGATATTCTAGTCGAATTCCATATAAGAAATTGTTTGTGTAATTTTGTGTAAATTTAATTTTCTTAAAGCTTCCGCTAAATTTAAATTAAATGTTTACCTTAACATAGTGCAATTTGCATTTGAATTGAGTTGACAGCCTCAAAAATCCGCAATTTTTCAGCTCGTATATCTCGGCTTTCATATTGAACAACCACGAAAACATGACTGTAGATATATTTGAAAAATGTTTTTTTGAAAAATTGATTTCCAATATTCCACCAAACAGTATTGTCCGCTACCATTCTGCACAAACGCAAAAAAAAAAAAAAATAATCGAGGAATCTCACCGATGAAACTCTACACAAATCCGTCAGCTTTCAGCATTTGTATTCATGAAGTACCGAAGTACGGTTCTGGAAAGAGAAACCCAAGCGAGCTAGGCCTGGGGTTAGACTTTCATAAAAATTTACCAAACTTAAATACAAGATTATGTCGGAAAAACGGTATATCGTTACGAACTATACCGATAATAATTCTCTCTTGCACAAATTGATTAGCTGTGTGTCCCTGGGTAATATTACTTGTGCAAGCTTTATTGCTCCACCTCAAACGACCTGCAAGCTGTCTTTTCACTTGAGGACCATGAAAAATGCGATGCGACGACAATCAGCAAATTAAATTTCTGTTGCTAGTGTTCCATATTCATGTAATAAAAACGAATTGCAAAGTAAAAATTGCATCAACTGATGGCCTAGGCGCATGCGTATCAATTTTGTGAAAAGTGCGCACAATAACAGTCGTTGGAAAAGGGTAATCAATTTGGAAATACAAATTTAGCTCATATTCGAGAACACATTCGAAAAAAAGTTAAAAGTTCCACAATAAGAAAACATCATGAGAATTTTAGTAGAATCCGTATTTCGAATCGAATCTTTTAATAGCAATTTCAATATAAATATTTCTGTTTTGTTTTTCTAACAAAGTGGTGTTATAAAAAAAATATTCAGAATATGGTATTAGCCTAGATCGCAAGTTGACATTAAAATTGTCATTCTGAAGAATTCAAAAAATATCGGAAATTGTGAAAATATTTTTAATTTTAATGAAGAAATTGGAATTTACGATATACCCGTTTTGACACCAGTGGAATTTCCTCAACCCCTATTCGTTTTGGGCGTATGTTTGGGATAAAATCACAAAGGTTACAAAAATATTTCCAAATTGAGAAAGACATTTTTCTCTGTAAAATACGGTAAAACCTCATGAATTTTCGGGCTACACAAGAAATTATTTCCAGCATCGATTTTCTTTTGCTGGAGATGGCAGAATGTTTTAAGCGTTGATACCGAGGTTGATACTCACGAGAATAAAACGCTCTGCCAGAGGCGGCGCCGAACGCACATACTTGTGGATTTTTACCCAGCGGTGAAGCATTTTAATCGAACATCATAAAGAAGTCGGATACTTTGTTTTGATTCAAATCCTTGAACCGAAACGCGAAAGAATTAACGTCGCCCGCAAATCAATTTGTTTTGGAGAACTCGGCTAAAAATAGAGCCCGAAGAGGATTTTCCCCATCCCGCAGTAATACGCATATTGAAGGGGCAGTTTATTTTTAAACCAATTTCGATACACGTTGTTTTATTTGTACAACGAACCCAATATTTTACAAGGTTGTTTCTATGTGAACAAAAACATTTGACGGTGGATCCCATCAGTTTGAGAAATTAAAATTGTTCGACTTCTGGGGTGGTAAGGGTGGCATTTTCCAGAATGAAAATGTTTGTTGTTTTCCGCGCCATTAAGCTGCCAAATAGTTAAGAACAACAATGAAATGAATGAAATTAACCGCCTATTATAAAATAATAGGAAAAAAATACATTCAGTTCAGAAATAGGGATTTTTGGTATCCGTTTTTTGAACATAAATAATAGGTACAAAACCCATAAAATAAAAATTGCAAATATGCAAAGTGGATTTCATATAACTTAATAATTAGCAACTACTTTTAGTTTAAGTTTCGACTTTTAAAACAATACATTAGGATAGTACAAGGCGTTAACAGATTTGAAGAAGAGAAATTCAACCTATAAACCAATATTCTAAACACAGATCTGTAAAAAATATAGATCAAGCATCCAATTTATAAATGACACAAATACAATCAGATATCACTTTAAAGATAAAGAAGATACACGGTTGGACAACAGGGTGAACGATAGTCCATAAAATTTAATAATTTTTTTTTAACAACTCGTAGACATTTTTATGTAATTGGGTGCGGGTTCTTTGAGCAGTAAGCAGTAAGACAATTTTAGAAAAACAGCGTTTTCTTTGGGTGAAAAAACGTGAAAAAGTTAAATGGCGTATGCCCACTACTGAAGAGTAAAGGAAAAAATTTGTATTTTTTTTCTTATTGGTGGTATCGTAAAATCTATAGGCACATTCTGTATTATGACTGTTGACGCCCATTATTATTCATTAACTATTATTATACTTGTGTTAATAAAATGATCTGTAAAACTTTTCACAACCCCTAACCTAAAATTGTCTAAGAACTCACATATTGGATGGATCAGCATCTTAATCTGAAAGATAGCGATATACAAAATTTAACTAAAACCTCTTCCACTTCACGAACAAATAAATATACTATTACTATTAGCAAATTTTAGCTAAAAATATATTTGTTTGTACATCATTAGATATACAAAATTCGCAAACAACACTTAACATAGCTGTTACATAGCAATATCAATAATAGCGTGCTAGTAAGTACAGTTGTGTATGCATTCTGACATTGTATGCGAACGATGAGTGACTCATTTTTGCCGATTATATGTTCGGTGATAGGGCTGTGTGTATATAGATAGTGACGATGAAATGGTTGGAAAGTTGTTTAGCAGCTCTCGATTTATTAAAAAAGCAGCCATCCTCACGAAGACAAAACGGAATCGGGACACAAAATGATGTGCGTTATAAAAGAAGGTCGACAGTCCGTGATGACGAGGGATAGAAATGACTATGATGTGAAACATAAAACTGTGTATCGTACAAAGTGAGAAGTAGAATGCGACATATTTCGTTTGATTGCCTACCCATTTTCTCAAACCAGACGAACCCGTAGATAAATCCCAAACACTTTTCGACGTCGCATTCTTGGCGTGCTAAAAGAAAGTTGCATCTATCAATATTTATGTTTCATCAAATTGTGCTTTGAAAAACTTCTACCAATAAACTAACCAAAACTAACAGGAAAATACTTTCCGAGAAACCTTCAATTTTCTTTTTTTTTTAATATTTCTACATTTTTACATTTTAGTTTAAAATCAAAATCTACTTATATCATACAGGTATATATTCGGCATTACCGAAAGGACTGTTCGCCCAAAAATCTTCACCAATCCGTTTGAGGCACCCACAATCAACCAAGGGATATATCAATTTTATTTGAAGATGTCATTAATAATAAAAAATCAAGTTCCAAAACTAAGATATTGAAGCATAAAATGACACTAAAACAATAATTGTCAGTGCAATGAAACACCTAAATATATATTGGTGCTCATAATTTGAACTCGAGGCATAAATACAAACCATCATTTTTTATGACATTTTTGACAGTTTTCGAACCAGATCCAGTTACATTATAACAGACTTCCTCACAACGATTTAGCTACAATAACGTTCTATATTCATCTTTCTTATATACTTTTTATTATATAATTGATTTGACATAAATATTAGTAGGTATGTGTTTTGACATGTTCCTTTTTTCTTTTATATTTCATATATATTATATTATACTGCCGTAACTGACAAGCATATTGAGTCAATTCTTATTTATTATATGAATAATTAACAATAACGTTCTACCTCCATCTTTGTTATATACTTTTAATATATAAATTATTTGACATAAATAATAGTATGCGTTTTGACAACTTCCTTTTTTTCTTTTACATTTCATGTATATTTTATTAACTGCCTTTACTGTCAAGTGTACTGACTCAATTCTTTTTTATTATATGAATAATTATAAATAACGTTCTACCTTCATCTTTGTTATATACTTTTTATTTTATAATAGATTTGAGATAAATAATAGCAGGTATTTGTTTGAACATGTTCCTTTTTGCCTTTTATATTTCATGTATATTTTATTACACTGCCTTGACTGTCAAGTGTACTGACTCAATTCTTTTTTATTATATGAATAATTAACTGCAGTTTGACTGAGGAAGTATAACTTCCACTTCGCGTTTAAGTATATGTTCTTGAAATATACTCACGACAAAATTATTTTATTATTACTGTTTGACGCCAAATAGGCATCAGAAAATCACTTTAACTACTAGGCATTAGCAATGCACTTTCAAGAAGTGATAATATGAAAATATCATATTTCATATGTCCTGCCTGTGGCTATGTTTCACAAAAACCAACTTACACTTCCAATATTAAGCATCTAATAAAGATTAAAAAACAATTAAAAATAATGAACTTATTTGACCAAAATTAACTTCTTCAAAAATGCTATTTATCACATTGGCCGATAAATAAATATTTTTTGATAAAAAAGTTTTTTATTCCACTCTTCCAGATCCGTTTTGATCCTAAATCAAATGTGTACTATACTCTATTTATTGTGTTAATAAACATATGGAATTTTGGGCGATAAAAATAACTCCAAATCCTTTTCAAATTTACCAATTTTATGAGACCTTTTCCATTTACTTTTAGTGTCCCATAAAAAACGCACATAAATAAAAAAATCCTCCACTTAAGCCGACAAAAAAATCACATGCGGACATCATCTCACGCTCGGATTACCCTTTTTCTATGCTCGGGTAAAATTATAATTCACCTAGATTTAAAAATTAATCCGTTCGGCGTTTAAATAGATAATAAGGAATTAATGTCTAAGTGATAATTGATAACCATTAAATCATACCGCTCGTTTGATCCCACTAGAAATGGTCGACAAATCCCACGCACTCTTGGATGTGGTGTCCGCCCTTTGTTTCGACTTCTTGTTCCTCTTCAAGGACGAAAACCAATTGGTGACGTTATTCATCGAGCTTATAGAGCCTTTCCGCTCCCTTCCTATGGTATTGTACTGCTGGTACGGCATCTCGTCCAAGTAATCACTGTCACGCACATGTATATAGTACCTAATCTTACGTATCACAATGGGAAAGCACGGATTCGACAAAACATTAATTTTTCTTGGATTTATCACAGATAGAAATGGTGACGTTGACAGTTCTATGTCGCAGGCACTTCTTTTTTTGGTTAGACTGACTCTGACTTCAGTCACGATCGCTAACCAAGAAAAAAAAAAACGAGTCACTGTTTTAGGTTTTTTCCGAAATTACACCCATTTTCGTCGACTCAACCGGACGTCGTAATGATCTTGCACTAGAACTACTGCGCTCCGAAGGTCGCATTTCTATAATCGAAAAGCTATGCGTAAGTAAAGGAAAACAAGACAAAGCCGAGTTATACCACAAGGTCCATTTGAACTGATCGCCAGCGAACTGCCACGCGAATTCATGTCCAACTGAGTAACAAGCCTAACGTGAATCAGACGCTCAACAATGTGCAAATTAAAAAACGATTTGACTCTTAGAAACTTGTTCCGAAACTATTAAAATTGTCGTGCTAATAAGGTTTAAATGTCGGGTAACGGTATTATCGTCGAACATACGTGATTAGATTCCGGGAAAACACCCAAAAATGATAGTTGTTCTTTAAAATTATTTGGAAGTCATAGATAAAGTCTACCTAAACTGCATTTGGCATGAACGATAAGCTAATATAGCTTTGCATTGCGTGATGCTTATTCAAACGATGCGGATTATCGATTGGAAAACAGGAAAATATGTCGGGAATGAGAAACTTTATTATTTATATATTAACAGGGTTGTCACTGAAAAATATATGAGTCTAATTATGCGACCAATAACAAATTTAAATAATAAGGATAAAAAGAAAAAAAAATTGTCATGTTTATAACGTATAATGGAGCTGTTGTTATCCATGAAGTTCGAACTGGTTATTTGTTTCAACACTCACCCTTACAACAAAATCAAATTTGAAAATTAATTAACAATGCATATAAAGTATGCAAGAAAATAGTCGAGCAATCCTCTGAACAGCGGCACTTCTATAAAAATGAATTGCCTACACAAAAGACACAATTTCAATTTGTATTTAAATTTATTTATATTTAAAATTGTGTTGAAGTTTATTGTAGAGCATTCAACTTAAAGCAGTCTCTTGTTGCGTTGTTGTGTTTAATGAATATTAGTATGACACCTAAATTTTCTCCTAAAGCAGGGAAGTGCGACGGATCTGAAGCAATTTTATGAGTAAATGCGCCAAGTGATTTCATGAATAAACATTTTATTTTATTTTATAAGTTATAGGTTCCAATCTTCTAACGTCATATAAAAAGTCGCAACAGTTAAACTGCGAGCGTACAAGAGGTTTAAACAACAATTTCCTAGTTTTTTGATCCAAAATATGCGTGTTATAATAAATTAGCCTTTTTAACTAAATATTATTCCTCAAATTAGTATCGATTGTTACGTCTCAATTTTTCGCATGTCCAGTAACTGTTAATTTAGTTTTATATTTCAATTTTCTTGATTAAATACTTGGTTATTTTTGTTGCTAATTTGGTATTTGAAATTTGTACGCAACAAACAGAGTTAAATATCTAAAAAGAGCACGATGACGATTTTGTCCAAATTGCGTAAAAGAATTTTTTGATGAAATTGCCTTTCAATTTCGCTTTTAAATATAATAATAAAAGGTAGGACCTTTTCTTGGTCAGAAACACTGTAGCGCGAGCTGGGCAGGTTCTTTCACTAACGGTTTCTTGGAAGTATTGTAAATTCAATATTAAACTGGCTATCAATATTCCTTCCTTTTCTTAAGAGAAATTACAAATTTGGTTATTAATTGCTAAAAACGCCGTGAATGAATTGTATAAATACGCAACTAATTTATGTAAATAAACTGATAAATATTAAAGCAAAAACAAGTGAAACATACTACCACATACTCAGACCGTTTCAGCGTATTTTTATAGCAAAATAATACTATTTATAATAAATAATAAAACAATTTTGTTTTTTCTAAAAAAAAAAAAAATGATAAAACGCACCTGAAAAAAGCATCATTTTGCATTCTATTGGGGATCATTTTGCGTTCTACTCCTTAATTATTTGCTACATCACATGGGCACCATATTTTTTAAGGAAGTCAAATAAAACTATCGCGTTTTGTCTAATTCTGTTATAGTTTACATTGTTCAGCCATTTTAGCTTAGAGGGCGCATCATAAAAAAGCACGATGCTCAAACGCAGCGAAGAATGGCCTTATAATTTGATTTCATTACTGTCGAAAAAAGTCTTCTATAATAAATAAATTCACACTCAAAATTTAAGTACTATATTATTCATCATTCAGGATCTCCTAATATCCAAAAACCGCAGGTGATAATTTATTTACATTTTTCATTTATTAACTACGTTTTTAAAACACGCTCCTATTGGTACTTTAATTAGAATACTAGAACATAAAATCTAAAAAGAGGTCTTGTTTTAATATAAACCTAAGAAATATATAAAAGCTTACCATTAACTAACTAAGATTAACCAGTTCATTTAAAACTTATCTATCATTTATTTATATTCTAATAGATGTGAGAAAAACCCTGAATTTCATGTACATAATAAACCACAATAATGTTTACAAAAAACTGGTTTTATTTGAATTAAAATTTGTTGTTCTAACGCTATGGCTATATCTAGTACGGGTTTTTAAAATTCATAATATAAAAAATTATATACCTTAACAAACAAATACAACACATTAACTTGAAGCACAAAACCAACCAACATTCGGACTTTCCATGAATTAAACACATGGTAAGAAGAAAACTTTCGGGCGATTTCAAATGGGGTGACGTTCGTACCCAGAACCACACGAAAACAATCTAATCGAAAAACTAAAAATAGGCTGTGGGAAGCCGTTAGGAATAAACCGTCCCAGTCAGGCAACAAATCGGCGAGATAAGGATGAAACACGTTTAAAAAGTCCAAGCTGAACGAGGACAAATATTATATTATGTTTGCTTGCACCGCAATACTGGGAAGGTTAGGCATGAAATTCGAGTACTGGCCAGAATCCGCGAAAAAAAAAAAACGATGCAAAGCAGTGGAACAGAAAAAAAAAGCAAAAATCTTAAGGGGTGATTATTTGTTTAAGATAAAGGGTAGTTAGTTTAATATAAAAGGTAATCATTTGGCGGAAAAATAATAATTTGTATCTTAAAAACCAAAATAAATAGAACAATACAATATTGGGGAAGTATTATTACCTCTATTTAAGGGAAAATTTATGCAGTGACATAAAAAAATCTGTTTTATATTTTGTATCTCATTTGGAAACGTTTGTCTTCTGCAATTTATGATAACACTTGCCGTTTCCAAACCATTTCAACCAAACCATACAACCGGTTCCGTAGCGAGATAAAAAAATTATTAAATAATAAAAACCTAGTGAATTGCTATCATTCCTTAAGGCGTTTCTTATTACAATTTTTTTTTCAACATGCAATGCTTTACATTTAATTTTTTTATTTGTTGTTTGAAAAAATTGCAAGAGACAAACATTTGTAATAAATCCCTAAATCGAAATTTATGTTTTCCATGTCATTACGAAAATCTTTCTTTAAATTTAGTTAAAAAAAATTACAGGAGTAGACTAATTCAATCACCTACAGTCATAAAAATATATGCAGAAACTGTGATTATAAAAGTAATACGTCCGTTTTTTTTTTTGATTTATCTATTTTCGTTTTAATTTGCCCAATACTTTTGGCTTCTGACCCAATATTTATATAACAAAATACCCATTATTTTAAACAAGGAATAACCCCCTTATGTTTTTTGTACTTATTTTGAAGTACACTGTATAAGGATCTAGTTAAATTTGCCCATAGTTTAGACATATTCTAACAACTTCCATGTTATTCTCGGAATTAGTATATATCTCTTTTTGAACGGAAGCTTCTCAACTGTAATTCAATGTAATTTGCAAAGTATGCTATAAAATCATAAATAGTAAACAAAACAGCTGTTAAAGGCTGACAGATTGAACATATTGTTATTTTGTCATTTGCCCATAGTGTCCATAAGAATTATGTTGGCATACGAAAAGCTTATCTAGCAAAACTGGCGCAAAATTGTGTGCGGAAATGCTGGACATGGTCATGTAAAAAATAGTTAGGTTTCATCATTCTTGAGATGTTTAATAATTTCTCTCAAAAATTACGTTTGCCGGTCAAATATTTATAAATGTTTCTTATACACAGATCTATTCTTAATTTCACTGCAGTATTTTTACAATTTAACAAGTCTTGTAACTAATTTTGATAAATGATTATACCAAGGTTGATGGAAAAATCAACAATCCAAATAAATTTTAAAACATGAGGAAAAAACACTCTTTTAAATGGAACCTATTTTTATGCATATTTTATTAATTTCCCAGTTTATGTATGAGGATAGCGACTCTCCATAAACGAATAAGCAAATTCAAATATTCTTCATGCATATAATTTTAAGCTTGCCGTTATGGTTATGGACAGTAACTTTCTGACTGACAGCATGATGTTTTCTACGCTGACATGGTTAAGTCTAATTATTTGAATATAAAAGCAATAAAATTTATTGATATGGAAAATGTATAAATTTATATATGGTTATTAGAAATTAAATAAGACATTTAAAATAATCAAGCATGCAACCATTTCTGGTATATTCGGAAGTTTCAACCTAAAAATATTTCACTCTCATGATCCCCATATGGATTTTACTATGAATGCAATTTTTTTAATTTTTGCTAATACGTTTTCCAAAATCAGGTAGACGAATTTTTCGGTGAATATGTACAACAAATCGCCAATCATAAAGGTTTATCTTGCTCCATTTTTTGCTACTGTATAAATATTTTATTCTTCTTCTGTTTTGTCGATCTCTTATCACAATCTAATAATAATTTTTTTTCACCGACTTCCATTTTTCTTAATTTAACTCAAAAGGTCAGTAAATCATGGCTTCATTTCCGGCCATGTTTATTGAATACTGAATTAACAACGTTTAGTGACTCATTCTTCGCATTCCTACTAAACTCAATTAGTCGCGTCTTTGTTTGACTAACAAATGTTTAACGTATACCAATTATACGCGACTGGCTGACCGCCCGAGTGACACGTAAGTCGCGGCCCATGTAGATTACAGTAATCTGTTCATTGGAAAGTCATTTCACATGGCAAAAATACTAATTTTATTAAAGTTTCTCAGAGCAATGAGTCTTTTATCACCTAGCGTCGATAATTTTTTTAGCTTCGTAACAATACGGCCTTGTTAATCGCGT